AACTTTTATCCTTAGTCATTGGTGTGTGGTGAGTAATTAAATATTTGATGGTAACCAAACACAATCTTTGTTTAATTAAGAATAATTACCAAATTACATACAGTTACTGTGATAGCCTCTCTAACAAACAGGAGACATTGTGTCAATCCTTGTCCTTTACAGGTCACCCTTGGTGAAGAGTGGGGGATTTGGGGAAGAGGTGTGAGGTGATTATTTGTTCTGAGATGTCAAGTCTTTGTCAACTGGCAGGTTAGAATTATTTTCATGTTTTCGGTACAATGTTGGCATTCCGCCATGGCTTTCTAGTCTCCGTGTGGGTAAGTGCTTTTCTGCCAACCCATACTTCCTTATATTGCTTAGCTGAAGAGTTATTTATTTACAATAGCAAGGAATTAAGGATTGTTATGACAAACTTTATCCCTCTTTTCTAAGGAGTTATTTTAAAATGGTTTCAAATGGTTTATTCAATCTCATTAATTTATTTTTTGTAAGTGTTAAAAGATGCAAAACAATTATTGCAATATAATGATAATGTATGAAAATGTAAATTTAACCTGAAGCATTTATCAATAAATCAATGTATTTTTTTAAACTTTTATACCTACAGAATGTGCATACATTTTAAACTACAAATTTTAATTCTAAATAAAATTTGAATTAAGAACAAAATTTGACTATGCATGGTTACTGATTATTTGAATCTGCCTAAGGTGATACCATACATTTGTGCTAGCTGCAGATATGAATTACTTCCATAAAGACATTTAACTTTGTGGAAGTATTTTTTGTCTTCTCTAGGTTGATCAGCATTTCAGTTACACAATTTAAAAAAAAAAAAAAGAGAGAGAAAGAAAATGTTCTTATATCCAGAAGGAATAATATTCCGAAGAAGTCACCAAACTAATATTTTAGCAGCAGTTCTGTCTTTATATATTTTATTGCAGGATGCTGCAGCTTTTGATTGTACCCTGTCTTGCACTGGGTATGTGAACTTATTAGCACTGGTTAAAAGGTGTTTGTATTTTTTAAAGCTATTTGATAAATGGTATATTCATTTTTAATTGTTTTTAGTAATCAAGATGATGCAAATGAGTGCCTTTGAATATATTAGAGCTTTTCCTGCAGGAAGGCGTCACTCGGTACAGCACTGAGCTGTTCTGTCAACTTTTAATACTGTAATCTTTCAGTGGGAAATAATGACCTGATAAAACTGTATTAACATTAATCTAATGAGATAATTAAAATATAGTCAAGCAAAGACAATTTAGTATTGGTATTATTGAAATGAAACATTTGGTTTGTTATTTGTTCTAGTTATAGCAATTTGTACAACACACTTTGTATCCTAGAAACCCCTCTTTTAATGAGATTTCCTGAGTGGTATTTTTGTTTTACGTTGTACTTTATATGAGGTATATGCACTCTTAGATACTATTATATTTATATAGTTACGTATATAATCTTATATAAGTCAGGTTGCATCCTTTTTAGGATTGTTGCAAATTCTTAAGGAACAAGATTGGTGTGGGAATTACCCTAACCTAGAAACACCAAGCGAGGAAATTAAAATAATTTGCTTCTACCAAGATAGTAACAAGCATTGTGTATAGAAAAGGACAGCCTTGGGCTGTTGGGCTTTGCAGGGCAGAGCTCCTACTGAACCCTGCGGGCATGGGCAGAAATTTTTCACAGGGTACTAATGGTTGTTGTTGACTCTTTGGTGTAACTTGGTTTGACGTCAAAGAGCAGCTTCTGTTCTGCAGGGGTTCCTACTGTGACTGGAAGAGGTTAAGTGCAGTGGGCAGAGCCTGCAGCTGAGTTCAGAGCTGATGTCCTTGGAGCGCGTGGACTTCCTTCAGGTGCAAGCTCCCAGGTGAAGAGAATGAACGCAGGTGTTCTCACAGAAACAGTTCCAAGATTTGCACCTAAATCACAGGGACAAATTGTTATACACAGGTAGTGTTTTGGGGTCTGGCCAGTGATGTACATGTGCTGGCCTGGGTGGCAGCCAAGAATCTTAGTTTGTAGGATTTGGCTAAGATAGTAAGTTTGTAAGGTTTCCCCAGGGAAAAGAGGAAATGGGTCTGTAGGTCTGTGCAACTCTGTTGCCAAATGTTAAAGATATAATACACAACACAGGTTCAGATATACTAGGGTAATTCATAGTATTTTAATCCATTGCTATTTGTTTAAACAGGATTGTCCAAATGCTGCTTGACAGTTAGGGAAGACTTCACATCTGTGACTGGAGAAGGCTGTGAGGCTGTAACAGGAAAAGCACTTGCTGGACTTAACTGCTCTTCTACTATTTCCTTCCAATCACAGTTACTGGCTGCTCCTGGGGAGTTGTTGGTAAGCTAGATGGATCTTCGTGACTGCGTGTGGTCGTCAGTACTTGTTGTAATGCCCAGAAAATGGTTTATAATTGATTACGTGGTTTAGCCTCCCTGCTAGGTCTCTAACATGCCAATTTCTGCTGTGCTGTGCTGCAGTAGCCCTGGCCCTGTGGTACAGCTGAGTCCCGTGTGCTGGTGCTGTAAAGAGTGTGCAGGGCTGTGTGGCTGCTCCAGCTGGCACTGAATCGGTTCTCCAACCTTTTCCAGCTTCCCAAACTGGCTTCTTACGGGAGTGGGCAAGGGATGGGTACAGGTTGTATGGGATGTCAAGGGGGTGGCAGTGTAGCCTGGGGTTGGCTTCAGTCAGGTTCAGGTCTTCAATCTGTTTTTCCCAGATGCATAATGCATATGGGTTTTTATTAATGCACAGGCAAGAAACATAGCTGCAGTTATTCAGACATGTTCTAAAAATAAAGGGGAACATCCCTAGCAGAAGTAGGTATTCAGGGATTTTACAGAATAAATCTATAAATCTGATAAGCCAGAGACACATCTGCTACTTCTGTTGCCAGATCTTAACCCCCCTCACCTCAGTTTTGAGGTACAGGGTTTTCTTAACAATGAGACTGTCTTTTGGAATAAGAAGTCTTTATCTAGGTCCATGGAGCTAGAAACAGTTGAAAGGTGGCTGTTTGGTGTATGGGACATCTTACTTTTAATTGTAACTAGAATGTATTGGTTTCACTGCATTGTGCAGAATGACATTTAAACTGTTTTCACTTTTTTGGCTTTTTCAGAGCCATGCAGGAAATCTTGTATATTGTCACAACAACAGCATTGGCTAGGCAGAATTTGTCTGTGTAACAGCCTCCACAAGATAATGCAAAGCAAACCCTACAGATATTTTTATCCTTTTATCCTCTCTAATGTAATCCTGGATGTTCAAAGATCACGATGGGATGTTTAATCTCATGTCTCTGGTATTATTTGCTAGCATAGATTAGGAGGAAAATGCCTCTCTGGGAAGCTGCTCGATTTCTGTTGTGGGGTTGATCTGCTACCTCCTTTTTGCTGCCTCCTTTATCTCATTGTTAGGAAAACTCAGCTGAAATGTGGCTGTCTTCCAACTTGCAAAACAAGGCTTTATTTTGCTGCGTTCATTTAACTTTTGCTGGGTTTTGCACTGAAGTCTGGCTGGCCACGGTAGTGCTTCAGGTTGTCCGCAGACTGTAGTTAATGCTGGGAGCAAGGGAGCCACCCGGGCTGCCAGCCAGTGCCTGGATGTAGTCCTGAAGAGAATAAGCCTGAGCCTCGCTTGATGACCTCAGGATTGCATGCCCAGAACAGGGCCTGAGGGTCTTGGGTTCTTTTAGAATAACTGCAAGACTCTTAACATTCAGGAGTACCTGATAATCAAAACTGTAAAGAGGACACCTGTGCCAGGTTAATGCTGTGGTGCTGTTTAACAAAGTACCTCTTTCTGCGCCTTTTTTTTTTTTTTTTTTTTTTTAATGTAAAATGTGTGAAGGGCAGTGAGACTTGGTTGTTCCTGCCCAGCTCCCACAGAGGCTAATTGGGATTGCGCTCTCAGCTGGTGTGAGCAGGTTTGGGATATCTCTTGTCTGGAAACATGGGAAAATAAATGCACTTACAGCAGCCTCTCCTGAAATCCGGGAGGGCTGGGTGCAACGTGCTGGCCCTGGCTGGCCTGTGCTGATAACAGGGCGGTGGAGGGCAGCTCAGGTGACGAGGAAGACAGGTTTTGCTCTTCTTGCACGGGAGGAATAGGGACGCGCTGAGGCTGCTGTCTGTAAGTGGCAGTTACAGAGCTGTGAAGGAGTGGAGACAACTGGGGCTTTCCAGGCAAGTCAAGGCCATATGGCTGACTTTAATGTATATGCAGTTGGCAGCCCTGTTAATCAAAAACCTGTGAAAGATGATCCGCGGAGGTGTTCTAGAGAAATCCCAATCTGATAACCAAGAGCAGAGCTTTGTGATTAGTCAGCTGTGGGATATTTACATGTCCGTATGAATCAGATTGTTAGTTAAATATTGGTTTAGCAGGGGAACTGTGTTCTCTTCCTGTTTGAACTCCGACTACAAACACTGTTGCAGGTGTTAGGGACAGGCTTGTTGAGTTTTCTTTGGTTTTAATTTACAGGTGGTTTAATATGAGGGGCAAGATATATTATTATAATATTTAAACGTCAAATTAACAAAAGACTATTTTTCAAACCAAACCCAATCCATTGGCTCCAAATCTACCTTAAATCTGACTGAAAGTGAGAAAAGTACTGTGAGAGAGAAATCCTGGCCCTAGGAAATTGAGGGGGGACATTTTTAACACTACCTAAAACCAATCTGCAGAGTTTATTCTGGGACACAAGAGGCTCATAGTGCTCCTGTTCTGTGACTGGCCACGTTTTGCTCTGATGAAGCACAGCACTGGATCTGGTGATTGCTTGTCAGCTGCAGTTCCTCTCTGCAAATCCCTCGTGTGTCAGTTTTCTTTTGTGCTTTGGTTTCTGCTTTGACCATATGGATGTTTGTTTGACAGGAGTCTTTGACCCTCAAACAGTTGGGTGAGTCATGGAGAGAGTGAATTCGCCCGTATAGAGTTTAATCTGTCCTCCTCTCATGGATTTAATTTCCACTTGACAGGCTGTACTAAGTTACGTGCTGTCTGACCTGGCTATTGGATACCAAGCAGCAACCAGAGCACTGTGTGTGGAAAGAGTCGGCTCTGTGGATGGTGGACGAACATCAATATTAATGAGCAGTTACTCATTTACACTGGTAAGTAACAAAACTGCTCTATAACACAGTTCAGTCTCCCTCAAGAATAATTCTTTTGACGGAAGTACAAGCACACAACAGCTGCAGCGTGCTTAGTAAAAGCTGTTCTAAACTGTACTGATTCCAGTCACATAACAATGTATTTTATAGTTTTGGTTTTCTGTTTTTGAAGTATTACCCAGGCTTAAATAGCATTCATTTTCTAATTCAATGATAGTGAGTAAAGGTGGTTCAGGCTGCAAAATTTGTCATGCTTATGACAGCATGTTCAGATCACAGAATCACAGAATGGCTGAGGTTGGCAGGGACCTCTGGAGATCATCCAGTCCAACTCCCCTGCTGAGCAGCGTCACCTAGAGCACATTGCACAGGATGGCATCCAGGTGGGTTTTGAGTATCTGTCACTGTATCTCCAGAGCAGGTGATGTCCTGGACACCTCAGAAAATTACTGCTTGTCTGTAATTATTCAAGAGGAGTACTTTGGGGATGAGGGAGATCCTTGGGGGAGAAGAGTAGCAGAATTTGGATAGCCTGTGTGTAACTACTGAAACAGAATCAATTCCCTTCTGACGGGAGCAAGTGGATGTTGGATTGCAGGGGTGAATACTGGCATATTGATTTGATCAGTTAACTTGTTTAAGATTACTATAGTTTATAGAGTCCTGATGGACACAGAACTTAAACAAACAAAAACCCTACTACTTAAACAGATGGAATATTCATAATAACTATTTTAATGAAGATAGTGGAAGAATTATGCCCAGAGCAGTTGCTCTCTAACCACTTTGTGAGTAAACTAGATAAAATTAATGAAACAATAACCTCCAAGTGCGAGATGCTTTATTTCTGAAGCTAAAAATGTTCTACTGAAACAAAGAGGCCTTGAAATAAAAAGGTTACTATTTTTCAAATTGATAATGAGCATTAAGCATCTTGTGAGTAAGGTATTTCTGGTTCATTTACTCTTCCTAAATCCATTAGTATCTGCTTCTCCAGCTCCAGAAACACCTTATCTGCATTTTCTTGCTCCTCCGTCTATTTTAGTTTTCTGTTTAGTAGCCACACTCTGAAGGAAGAACAGAAACAAGGCAATAATTCACTGTTCAGCTTTGAAATACAAAAGCAAACACTCCATTGCCTTCCAGTGGATAGTATTAAGTGCAATCACAAATTAGTGGACAGGGCTATGTTAACTGAATTGTTGTTTTCTTGGTTTGTTAGCTGGTACTATTAAACCATCTACCAAAGAATGCATAGGCAAAATCCTTATTGGAAGAAAAAAAAAGTGAACCAGGACTGTCTATTCTAATCCTAACCATGACAAATAAGAAATAAGGAGCTGCTAAATCATTCTGAATATACACATCCTGATTTTTGAAAATACTATGGGAAATAGCCTAGGCAAAAGAAGTGCATTTTAAAGATCTAAGGAAACAAAGGAAGTTTGCTTAATTCCAAATATAACGTACTGTTTTCTCCATCTGTGTCTGTTCCTTTTCTGTTCTTTCTTTGGCTTGAAACTCTTGGTATTTTTCGTAATTCTTCAGATATTTGACTTCTCTCTCAAAATAATCAAGTACATTGGCCTGCTATTAACACAATGACAAACAAGTCTTGTTACAAACCTAAAGACTTGGAATTACTGCTGATGATCTGCATGGCATTAACAAATTGTCTATTTTAGGAGTATAGGTCTCTATTCATCCAAATGATTTGTTGCAAAATAATGCAAATATATGGATAGAAACCAGCTAATTTTGGATACAAATAGGCATAGTGTTAAGTGATTTTTGTTACACTGAATTAACTTTATTTACACTGAATTTTATTACACAGAATTCATAATTCTGTGGCCTAAGTTGTGTAGATCCAAAACACTCATAATTTGGGCAGAAACAATGTTTTTCAGCAGTTATAGCATGTAGCCCGCTCCTACTTTACTTTGGAAAGGTTTTACTAAAATTTGGTGGCTCACCTGGTTTTGCATTGCAACATACTGTAGCTCTGCACACAGCAAACTGTTGTGGGCTGCTTATAAACTACTTCAACATCTATATGGAAGATTTGGAACTGGGATAAGATGAGCTGAAAGTTTTTTGTATAAAAATAACAGACTTGGTAGCAGGTAAGACTGATAGACTAGGTAATACAAAGACCCTAGCTTGCTCTAGGGCTGGGAAGATTAAAGAAAGAGAAACTCAGTAGATTTGCATTACTATGCACCACATAACATTAATGTATGAAAGCAGGTGTCATTTTATGCATAAAGCATTCGTCACCGTGTTTTCATGTAGGCAGGTTGGAGCTGTGGAATTCTGCCAGCTGTTACCTGGGTTTCCTTTAGATGCCTCTTAAGGGACCTGTGCAGTCAGCTTTGCTATGAATGATCCTTGGAGAATACGGCCTACTTATCTCAAACTAATCACAACACGTTTGAAGGCAAGATTTTTCAGCCAGGCCTGTTTCTGTTTTTTCAGGGTAAGTTGTCACAGAGATAAATTAAAATCATTACCAACCTCATTGCTGGAAGACTGGCTTAATATCGGACAGATTTCTAAAACATGCAGTACTCCAGAATCATCAGAAACAGCAAGAAATTGCTGCTTTGCTGAAAGATATTTAACAAAAACATAATCTGAATTCCAACAGTAATACATACCTCCACCTAACCATGAAATGTCTAGTTTTTAATATGAGAACTGATGTCTCCTAATATGGATAGTGCAAAGAACTACAAAGAATTATTTTGTGTTCTTCTTGGTTTATTGGTCACTGAGGCAAAAGCACAGCTTTATTGCTCTTAATTTATTAACAAATTAAATTCCCTTTAAAGCTTATACTTTTTCAAATTATTTTGTTGTTTTTTTTTTAATTAAAATTTTTAGTTGCTTTATGCCTTCCTAATACACTTAATATGCTTAAAATGTGGTGTATGCACTTCTGTGTACAGTGCAGCATACAACTAGTGGAAGTATGTACTTATCTGCTGTATAGGATGTAGCAAGAGTAGTGTGCTTTGGAGTAATGGGCCATTTTACATACATAAAACAAAGCACAATAAAGTGTGATCAACACCAACATACATGAGGCAATCCAGGGGCTGATGCAGGTGATCGTTGATTCAGAGATGTTCTGGAAATGAGCTGGCTCATGAGTTTTCTTCAGTAAGTCCCAGATTTCTATATTTCCATCATCTCTGCCAATGAAGAAAACTCCTGGTCTTGTTAAGGACCAGTGTCCTGTAGTGTATCTTTGTGTCATGCAGCTTGACTCGAGAATAGGTCCATCCTTAATTTTTTTCAAAACAAAGATGAGACCCAGCAATCAAACAATACTGTCCATTCACTACCTTAAATTTCCTATAATTTGAGAACATTCATAATTTAAATGATCCTATTACAAAATAATACAGATGGCAAAATCTGTATCACCTGTGATTAGAAGAAATATGGGGGATTAAAAAAATAAACCTGGTATCTCACTTTGTCTATTAAGATAATTTGTCTATCTGCTGTTAAAGTCTGGGGTCTTGAGATTTTGCCAAGTGCAGATAACCTGGATCCCCTACACAACAAAAACAAACAAAAAAGCCAATGTTTTTATGCTTTCAGCTGACAAAAAGACTGCATCCTAAATAAGTGCTCTTCAGACTTGCTTAGCACACCTTGCCTTTACTCTTTGATTTTCTAGCAGCAGAAATAATTTGTCAAGAAGCTACAGCTTTTATGAAGTTGGTATTAAAGGTCACTCCATTCTGTCTGTAAATGTCAAGATTACAAAGCAGTTTCTAAAACAGCTTTTCTGACGTGAAGAACAGGGAAAAGCTTTTCTTATACCTAATTTATTTCTAAGCTATCAAGCTTTGTGATATACAAACAGTTCTGAAAGTGATCTGTGAGGCTATTATTATAGGTATCTTTTGTACCTCTATCAATTATGTTACAGATGTTTTAAAGTAACTTACTGTAACACCTTCTTTCCAAATGGCAAAATTCCAGCCTCCAACACTTAAAACAATGTCTTTAAAAAAGGGAGATATCTGGACGGTGTTCACAGCTTCGTCATGGATGAAGTATTTATGAGAGGGCTTCTTACCTAACAGAATGAAGAAGATAGTTGCCTATAACTAGTGCTTTCCATGATTGTCAACACAATGAGAGTTAAGTGGGGGGGATATGGAGATGTAGTATTCTGCACAGGCCTCAAAGATACTAGCCTTGTTTCTTTTGCTTGCATGGTATAGGAATTGGAATTGCTGCAAATCTAGTTACTGTGAAGTAAGACTTCCCTGATTTGTGCCAGTAGGTACATAGCAACACACCTATGACACTGGAGAAAGTTTTCGCTATTCTGTTGTGACACCTAAACTGCATGCAGTCTTGAGCATGTCCTGCTGAACCCTGATGTCGTCACTGAGACCACCTCAGTAGAACGGAAGAATGAGCAAGAACCTTAAGAAGGCAGAGTATATGGGCAAAGACTTTAAATTTAGCAGTATATTAAGGTTTAAACAGGTGTTGAGAAACATGAACTTACTAACTGGTTTTCCTGAGTTGCTATCGATTTTTATTTTCCAGTCAGAATAGATAATTTCTCCATCCTGTAATGCCAGAAAAATCAAGTAAATACTGACTTTAGAGCTTGATGTCATAGAGCAAAGTGGTTTGTTTTTAAGCTGTGACTTAATTATAGCCATTATTAAATGTTCTTGGTAAGTTTAAAACAAAAGGTTGCAGCCAATGAGTGAAAAAACGCTAAACTTTTGGATCACCATTTCTCACTTTTGTGTTACCAAAACAGCTTTACTTATCATGATGTATGTAGGCAGTCCTTCTTGCAGAACTGGGCACACAAGTATTTGGGGAAATGGTGGTGGAAACAGTAAGGGTAGGTGAAAGATTAATGTTTGTTTCCACATGAACTTAAAAGTGGGATAAATTTTTGGAATTTTAGATAGGTAGGGTAGGTACAGAGCTATGAGTAGCTAGGGCTTCCTAGAATAAAATTTAAGTTCTGGAGGAAATTGTAGTATTGTTTCTATCAGATATTTGAGGAAACACTGGAAAAAGTATTACTTATCTGGGTTTTGAAATAAGGAAGTACTGTTTGGTTCCTGATGTCAGGTAGTTAAAATCAATGCACTCTGGAAATGTCTTCCAACTTTGCCCTTGAAGTAAGGGTTCACAGTCTAGCAAATACGGGCTTTTGTTATTGTTTTAATCATGTCCCTAAATGTATTAAAGTGAGAGTAAAATATGGCATGTCCAGAACGATCTTTTTAGTTAACACCTGAAGAAAACATGTAGGTGTGTACATTTCTGTAAGCCCTGAAAGACTGAAAAAATAAACAACAGAGATCTTTTATTAATGTTTTCTTAGTAACCTACTACTTTCACTTACTTTAGTTCCAACAAAAAAGTTGTTGGAGATACTCTCCAGTGCTTTCAGAGGTTTCTTTGAAGGAACACTCATCTTTGCGTATGGTTTCTCTTTGGCAAGTGCCTTTTGTTTGTTCATAGATTGTGCCTTATCTGGGAAACAATATAGATAGATTTATTTATTATACCGGAAAAGTTACCAGATCAAACAATTCCTTTGTCTTATAAAGGTAGTTTATAGATAAGGGGAGTTCCAGGAGCAGAGAGAAAGAACGACTGCCAAGTAAAGCAGCAGTCCTGCAGGCTAGCTGCTTCCCTGGAAAATCTTTCCCTGATACTGGGGCTGCAGCTGATGGGAATGCTAGAATAGTTCAGTTCTCTCTGTCAGATCAGGACTTGTGGTCTAATCCTGCCATGCCGGTACTTTAGGCGTGACCCTTTCTGCAGTGACAATTTCCAGCAGGAGGTTAGACACACATTGGGCAGGAGCAGATGGTCTCTCGATTCCTTTGCACAGGGAAACAGGAGGTCTGTGCTTCCAGTAGTGAGACAAGTACTTAGGGTAGTACTTCTGTTCTTCATCATCAGTGTTAAACAGCATGAGCTTCTCTAATACCCCTGCACCTTCCCTTGTCAGCTCCTGTTTGCAGCAGCCATCTCTGACTGGTGCCAGCTGCCTCCAGCGCTCCATGGGTAGCGGCACACACTGAGCACTGAACCTCCAGGAAGGTTTGTTAAAACCTCTGGCATGGTTTGCAGTCTGTGTCTTAGCTGGGCAGCCTCTCATGCTGTGTGTCAGCAAGCCAGCTTTACAGTGGGATCAGGAGTGTGTCCTTACTGCAAAGTAACACAGTGAGAACTGATCTATTACAGAATGTGAAGTGCTAGGATACCTCTATCCAAATGCATACAATATATGCTGTTACTCCAGGAATTTGTTTCCTAAAGGTACTTTTCTGCATGGACTGAAAAGGACGTACTATTTCAAGAGTTAAGAGACTGGAAGACTTGCATGGGCTATTGAGCAAAATGCAGCAGTTACTGTGGATACAGAACTGTTCTTATGTATTCAATATGTGGATGTGTTTTCATAGTCAACATATGTATATTCCACTTTGAATACCAGTATATTTAAGAAACCTTTTTCTCCAGATGCTGTAGAAGATTTTGTTGCTTTGCTTTCATTATATACATACTGAAATACAAGCTTATTAAAATCATTTTTTCCAATAAGGTGTAATAAAAATATTACCTAAGATTTTGTAATGATGATGCTGTTCCAGTAGACAAATTTTGATGGGACTGTATTCCATTCTGGTATCACTCTTACACAGGTTTATCTGTTCAGAAAAAAAGTATTTGATAATTTGTTTTGTCAGATGGTTTGTACCTACAAGACTAAATTACTTTCTGCCATAATGAAAGAGGTCTTTTCAGTCTGTGGTATGTTTGTAATACTGCACAAACAGCATTTGTTGCCTCACTTGCAAGTGCATACAACTGCAAATTTGCAGTTTCTCTTGTGTTAGCTTTTCCTTATAAGACTTCTGCTATGTTTCTAAGAAACAAACAAAAACTGGTTCTAGTGGTTCTGCTTTTTCAGTGACTGTACTAGCTGCAGCTATTCAGAGCAGAACAGGTCATCAGTTTCTCTTTTTTTCCTTTTTGTTTTTAAATGTTGTTATTTTCATCCTTCAGTTGTTTACTTTCCCACACAAACTGCTATGACCACTTTCATCAGACTTTGATTGTTGGGTTGCCAGTAATTAAGATCCTGTTGATCATGACACGTTTCACAGTTTGTGACCCCCTGGGATAGTGGTTGAAAGGGCTGACAACAACATGCGATGTTACTACAACTGCTTTTGCATTAACACAGTTTTTAAGACATCATCATGCTAACGTTACAGAACACATACAATATATATAACACATATAAATAATACATTCCTATGGAGTACTGGCCATATCTACAGTTTGGTTTGGTCCTACTGTTCTGTATTAGTGTACAGTACCTTTAGGAGAGGTTTCCAGCTGAGAGCTAGGTGCTTAAAGGTATCTGGAACTCCGGGAGGCATATCAAAAATTTTCTTCTCTTTTGCTTTTTCAAACAAAGGCTTGCTGGGAGTTTTGGTGACTCGAATATCCCAAAACAATATTAAGCTGCAAAATGACTGTATAGTATTATATTCTGTTTCTGTTTTAAAGTCAGGGGTAACTTTCAATGCATTTTGAAAATGTTTTTTTTACCCTTTCATCTTCAAACTTAGCAATAGAGACCCTGAAATGCAAGCAAATGCTAAATACTTAAGCCATCATTTATAAAAAGAGGTAATTATTCGTTTATTCAACATTTTATCAGTTGTAACTCTACCAAGGCAGCCAAATGGCATTCATACATTTTGCTTATGAAAAGTTACTGGGTGAAGTTAATGGCATTACCTAGGTGAAATTCTTATCTGTTGACCAGTGTGATTACTTGGGCTCTCCACAGTTAGTTAAAAGAATGGTTAGGAAGCTGAAATCCATATCTGGTTGACCAGTGTGATTACTTGGGCTCTCCACAGTTAGTTAAAAGAATGGTTAGGAAGCTGAAATCCATATCTGGTCGAGATCATGAGGCTGTTACACAACTGTGATGGGCCTAGTTTGCTGTAATAGCAGGCACATGCTAATATAGCCTAAAAATACAGATATCATCTTTGCTGATCAAAATCAATATTTTGTCTCTGACTGTGCCAGTACTGGAGGCTCAGAGGAATGGGCAGAACCCTCTAGCAGGTAATACAGTAATGCAGATCAAACCTCATCACCAATTCTTGTATGTGCCAGTTTATTTGCTGATATTTAAGACAAATGGCCCTACTTGCTTGAATGTACCATACCATTGGAGTTTTTAGCCCTGTAATTGTTCCTTCTGTTCTTCTCTGGGCATTGATTCACTGAATTGGCATAGACGATAATTTGCCTCATCACTGATATCTTTGCCTTGCTTACAGAAGTTGCCCAGGGACCCATGCTCTTCAAGGACCATATTACAGTGACTCCCCTCCTCTTTAGGGTGCATACTATTAATGTGGAGACCTGTTACGTGAGTAGTTTACAATTATTTCTTCCACATGCACTACCAGCATTACAGTGCAAGCTTATGGACAGTTGTATTTGCAATCATTCTTCCAACTTAATTCTTTGAAGTCTTTTCTGATTTTGATTGGGAAAAATAACTCCTATTATTAGCAAATTTTGCTGTCTTTTTACAGATCCTCCTCTTGATATAACTAGCAAATACTTGATTGAGCCTAGCTGTAAGCCTTTCACCATCATGAAAGCTAAACACGTATTTCCACTTCTTGCTTTCTGTCTCCCTGCCTTTCACATAAGGTAATATTTGCTTACAACCTTCATGATTATGTAGTCGACAAAAGAGGAGTTTCATTCCAAATAATTTTGCCTGTTGAGTCTCCATCTTTAAATATAGTTTACACTATTTATGTGGCCTCAAAATCTTTGACAGTTTTTTGTGCAAGATTCCCAATCTTATGTGACTCATATGCACAAAATGTATAAATGTGGTGTATATGTATAAATGTACAAATGTATAAATTTGGCTCTCCGGGCACGTGCAGCCAGCACTTGGTAAGCACAGAATATAGAGGTGTACATGTGAGGTTGTTCAGTTAATGAATCCTTAATACCATCACTGAAAAGGGTTTAAACTTGGTGTGTTTGTGTACCACTGTGTTTTAACTATTTAGGACAGGCTGACAGGAATCCAGAATTGTGCTAGTATCGTGGAGTATGTTCCATAAAGCTTTCCAAAGGAATTTGGAAGACATCTGGTAAAGAAAGTAGGTGTTGCATATACCAATCAGGGGAGCAGGTCACAAGCTGGACGCAAATTTCAGCTCTGTTTTCAAAAGTGATGCCCATTCGGTTGACCTAAAAGCAATAATAATTACAGGGGAGAAGAAGGTGAGCTATGAAAGTCGTACTCTGCTAAGGATATAGTTCAATACATAAAATGGTCTTCTAGGAATTAAGTCACTGTTTCAGCTTGGTTGAAGTTTGGAAATCAGGGCTCAGTAACCTGTAGTTTTAAAATAATAGTCAAGGTATTTTTACAAATGTACTTCAGGTGAAATGATGTCAGCTTTGCCTCCTAGATGCCTAGATTTCTAAGAAATCAACAGGATAAAAACTTGCTGCAACCATTGAGAGTCAGGCCCTCCTTGTATTACCATGTTTGTAACTTTTCATCCAGCTTAAGCAAAGAGCAAATTTATCTCAAGTGTTGGGAACCCCGTTCACACCATGGTCATCTCTCTTAAGTTATCACTACATATGTGGGATACTGCAGGTTTTATAGTAATTATGTACTGGGTAGTCATTGTTTTATACAGAAGAAGGGTTGGAGAGGGAACAACTGATGACAGTCCCTAATCAAACACGATCTTCAGTGTAGGCAAAAAACCCATTTATTTCTGGCTTAAACTCTACTTATCAACTGTGCAGCAAAGTTTCAGCTATGTTTTTTTGGTTGGTTGGTTGGTTTTTAGGCCTATTTCTACTGTTGTTTTCATTCATGAGGGCCAACCTGGAGTTTAAGTGGTAGTCTTATAACCATGCAAAGATGGATTATGTTCTGCATATAATCTTGATTTTTTTTTGATATGTACTAACGAACTGCAGTGCTGTGGAAAGGCTGATATACATCTCAAATTTGTTTATGTAACAAGAAGTATGGTCCACTGTATACGCCTACATAATGACAAAGAAAGGGATTTCTTTATAACTATTATTTATAAAGCCCAGTTTTCCTGCATCTGTTATCCCTGATGATCTTGAAAACAGCTTTCTGAGTCTAAACTTTGGCAAAACAAACAAACAAAAGTAAAATAAAACTAGCATTCTGGTATTCAATCCCTTTCTTCATGTTTTATATCTGGTACCGTTTAGAACCCATGGGTACTGCTGTATCATAATTTAATAATAAACAGTTGTATCAGCTTTCTTTTTGTGATATATGTGCACTCTTTTCCTCTCTGGACATGTTGTGAAGGACTGTGGTATCTATTAAGTCTTAAACATTTGGTCACAAAAAATGTTGATAGATTAATTTGCATAAACCCTTCAAAGATGTCAGTTTTCTTCCTCTTGACCTGCTTTTCCACTGCAATTTTGCATTTGATTACTTTTGCTTTTCAAGTTAATTTGTACAACAAATTGCAGAACTCTGATAGCAAATGAACATCTGACACTCCTGTAATAGACTTGGACCCTTTAACTACATTGAGCCTGTGTACCGTGGAGTTTTAAAGAATCACAGAAAATACAAGAGTTGAGTACACAGCAGCTAGAGAAACTAAGTTAACTACTATAGCAATCTTTTTAGGTGCCTAAGTACTTAGGTAATTGAAATTATTTTTCTGAATTCTTAGTGGCAGACTGGGATTACCCATAGTAGAAATTCAACACATTTTAGGTACAGAAAGCTTACAGTTAGACTTGTAATTCCGAATTGTATTTTGTGTAAAACTACATTTTTTTTTCCAGCACTGACAGAATCATATCAGCGTGAAAACACAGAACAGTTGTAAAACACAATGATCAGGACAAGCAGCAACAGATTATTTAGCATTTTAAAATGCAGCCAGAAGTGATGAGAGCTGTTACAAATAATTGAACTTTTAATATTTCATCTTGAGCTTACACTATGAAGCTCTGAAGTAAGTAGGAAAACAGTAAAAAGTGGAAAAATAAGTATTTAAACTCACCTCAAAATGATCTGGCAGCCAATGTATATCTGTAATCACTGTTTTATGGCTACACTCTATGGAAGAGCATGCGCAGTATCTTACTAAAGGTGGCTCTGTATCATTCTCATCGTCTTCCATATATGATGGCTAGAAATGTTTTAAAAAGAGTTATTTTAGTGTATTTCCAAAATAAAGTTGTAAACCTGTTAGAGAAAAAACTTACTTTACATACAGATTAATGGTTCTTCACACATTTCAGAACTGTCTAAAATTTTCTTGGGGTCTAATGTAGAACCATCTGAAAATGGAAAGCCTTGAAACAGGCATTTGAATATGAAGCTCTGAAGAGAATTCCAGTGTGGCTCTACAGGCACATATCCAGTAAGGTATTAGATTTTCCTCTGCTTTTAGGTCTTTCCCCTTTATAGTTTTATTCCACTGAAATCTGTTTGTCATCTTCCAAGCTACCTTTTGTTTTCTGTCCATACATTTTCATTTTCAGTGAAATACTGAGTCATTTTCAGTATTATATAAAGCAACAAATGCTATACATATCTGATGGACTTCATATGGTAAGGGTTGAGTATATGTTGATGCGCAATAAAGAGCAGTCTTAGTGAAGCCAAAGGCTGCACAAAACATAGGGAAACTATTAAGCTGCACTAATCAGGTGGAAATGATATTGTGATTTGGGTTTATTTTGTGAACCCATCAGGTTTCTTATCCTGCTTAGTATGCCATTGCAAAGATTACCTACTCCCTTGTTTTGAGCCAGGACACCTTCACCCATTTTTCCTACAAACTTGTATTCTAAGTTTCATTGTCTTCACCTCAGATGTATCGTTGTTCTCCGATGGATTTGCAACAGAAGCACCGTCCATATTAACAACTGACTTTTTGACTCCAACAGTTATGCTTTTTGCATTTTGCAGCCTTTCTTCATTTTTAGAAATATCCCACAGTACAAGCTACAACGAGAAATGAGTGTATTATGATTTTTTTCATTCTTTGTATTAATATGCATTTTTCAAATACATTTTTTTTTTTGGGGGGGGGAGTGGAATGAGAAATTTACTGTGTACTAGAATTTAAGTCTTCAGAAGTATTACCTCTTCAGTGTGATGCCATCAGTTGAAAGGCCACGCTTCCATCAAAAAAAAAAAGTCTTCACAGTTTGACCTATACCTGATTTTTATCCTTTTTTACTGATGAACTGCCAAGAACCATTTTGAAGTAATGGCTGAACTTTGGAATAATCAGACAACTTAGCAGGATTCAGTACAGGATTAGATAATTTAATTCATTTCACAGTGAAAATAATAAGAAATACACATTCTATGCGATGGAATTTTGGCTTACAGTATTTTCATTCTGTAAGAAAATACAGAGATATCTAACTTTATTCTTAAACAGAGAATTAATACCTGTCCATTGAAGCAGCCACCAGCAATGATATTTGGATCGCTTGGACTGAACTGAAAGCAGTAAATGTCATGGGGACATTCTAATATTAACTAAAAAGCAGAAGAAAACAGTAGTTGAGAAATACAGCATTTATTGTTCTCTTGTTATTTGAACACTTGGAATTTTTGAAAGTCCTGATTAAATACCTGAGGGCGGGTAGGGTCAGAAAAGCTCCAAAAAATAATGACTGAATCCTGTAACAATAATTTGTCAGAAGGGTTAATTCTTTCTTCATCAGAATACCTCTGTGTTGCTGACTCTGCTATTATCCCTGATTGAGAGAAAACAAATTTTCTCAGAAGAGACAAATCAAATTTCAACATTCTATTAATTATGCTAAGTGACTTATATTTATCCCTTGCCAATACAGTGGTAAAAAAATAAAGTGCATATATTTATATTTTTCTTTTTATAGATTGACTTTGAAGAAATTACTTCTGTTATAATTATCTATCAATGTGTTGTGGAAGCTCAGGATCAGGATAAAACTCAACTTTTCAGCTACTAATCTGTGATCATGTAATACTGAACCTGAAATGATAAGACAGGCATGTAGACCTGGCTACCCATCATGAAATCAAATCTTTCATAGTTTGTTTAATTTCCTATGCAGGCAGCAATGTTGGCTGTTAGTATGCTGTGCAAGTAAGACATTCATATGAAAATTAATAGTGCTTTCAAACATGGCTTTTTAGAGTAGTAATACCAAGTAGGGAGCAGGAGGAGACATTTAATATGGCTCGTGATGCTCCCTGGCACTCAGTAGAGCCACATGCTAGGGTAGCTGTAACATTCCTCAAAAATATTAGGCAGGCTACAAGACCCAGCCATGGGGAGAACAGTGAATACAGAACCACAAGTACCTGGCACAGTTGCAGCCCTGCTTAAATGAGCCTCATAAGGGAGAAATTTCCCCCTCCTATAAAGTCCAGTTCTATGCTAGTGTGATAGGCTTTGCATGACCTATCTGACCTACATAAACAATGTCTGTATTATTTTTCACTTTATCTTAAATGGCAATTTAGACATACAAAATTGTGTTTATTATTATTTTTTAATTTAAAGGTCCATGGCTACGAAAGATGCACATTTTACATTTTATAGCAGTCATGCAATACATGTCATTTGAGATTCAGATCATTACCATGGATGATTGGGTGCCAACGGACGCAGCTAATACTTCTGTCCTTGAGGTAGTCTGGATCTGTGAATGATTGGTATGCTTGAAGATAGACATCTGACTTGTCACCAGAACTGCTTTCATCTTCTGCTAGGGCCTTCCAGTCATCAAAAAAGGCATTCATAATTTCATTCTGCTGCAATGCAACTTCCATTCTGTTTTGTAAAAAGAACAGTTAATACTTAGAAGAATCCAGATATGACTACTCAGTAGCAGAATCACAAATATGTCTGTAAAGAGACAGCTTTTGTTTTACACAAAATTATGACCATATTATTAAGAAGAAAAATTCCTCAGTGATACATCTCAACTGTAAGGAGACTATTCCCCATTTAAAAAATAATTATACCAAGAATTTGACTCCAGTTGTGTGTGCATCAAGTACTGTGCAGTTGTCCAATTCTTGTGCAAAAAGTGTTAGTAAGTGGGACTTGTCCCATGACTTGGGCCTGTAGAACAGCACCTTGTCTCTTCTGCATAACTCTCTGCTTGAGTGAGCAGTGTTTGAAAGATAAGCTTTGCAGCTTGTTTGAAAAGATGTATTGCTATCAACTGTAACAGGTGTAATTCCAATTTAAGCTATCATTCAAATTAATGTGATATAGATTTCATGTTCATTTTAATTAGGCACAAATATCAAGTTAGTATTTGTTAAAATAATAAGCAAGAGAAAGAATAAAAGCAAGATGATAAGAAAGAACAAGCAAGAGAAAAAAAACAAAACACTTCAGTGTTTGACTAGATTGATGGTCCACTCAGCCAAGAGTTCTGACTCCACTCACTTTGATTTTAAATGTATATCATTTCATGCAGCCTTTAAAGTATATCACTGCAGTAACTTTACCTTAAATGTACTGATGTGACAAATTCTTTCAGTTTCTCAGATGACAGACTCTCTTCCAGCTCTTCATATGACAACTGTCTAGAAGAATACTGCGTGGCTGCATTTTTTGGATAGGTCCTAACCAATTGAAATAAATTTGAAAATGAGTATGCATATAAACAACTTCAAAGGCAGAAACCCATGTAATATATAAAACTAAAAGCTTCTTTATTTTTCTAGAATCTCTTTGGAAAGGAGTGAAAGAAGATACAGACAGAGCATCCAATTCTTTTCTCTTAATTTGTAACAGAGCATGTCCAGAAGAGTTGAGTTAACCTGCTTAACATTAAGGGAGATCAGAAACAGTTCATAGCTTAGTAAACAAGCTGAAAAATATATCTCACACTTACCATTTTGTCTGAGTACTAGCTTCTTTTACTTTTGGAACCATTTGTATGCCCACATCTCTTTCAAGCAGTTTAATGCTGAAAGTTTTGTCTTGGTAGGAAGTGCATTCAACATAACTGTCTTTCACATGTGAAGCATTCCTATCAGTAAATCCAATTGGTGCACCAAACTTCCCGCGTGCTCGAGAAAACATGTACTTAATCTGCAAAAAATATTTCTGAAGTTAGCAAAGGAGAGAGTTCTTGGAAAGTCCATTCTGTAAAATGGCAGTACTCTTATAATAGTAGAACTAGTTCTGTTGGTGGTTGAATTTACTTATATTTCTGCATTGTGAAAATTCAAAATGTTTATATAAATCAGCTATGTACAAGTGCCTCCGTACCTGGAGGTGTTCAACACCAGGTTAGATGAGACCCTTAAAATGAAAAGAGTCATAAAAAATAGTTTCTGCGGCACTTTGTTTTTGGTGACAGTTGATGGTTCTCTTTTTTGTGTGTTTTGTGTTTTTTGTTTTTGAAAGACTCCAAGCAAAAACTAGGATTGCAAGCTTCAATTTCTGACTTTTTCTTTTTAAGGAACTTATAAATTTGTTTTTGTGATATTTGATTGTTACATTTGTTATTTCTGACCTTTGTAGCATAGCCTTTAACAGATTCTTCTTCAACTTCCTTTTCGCTGCCAAGAGAAACCCATGGTTTGTGGACAGAACGCTTACAGGCATGGACTTCCAGAGTCCTCTCTTTTTCTTCTTCACTTTTTTCTTCTTTTTCTTCTGCAGTGTCTGGAGGCTGTGACATCAAGCAGTAAAAAATAACGTTTTTTTGAAAGTGTGTTTCTGAAAGATAAGTATGATCTAGATCCCTGAAATTCAGTTTTCATTCGCACATTCTTTTGTCTCAGTGCAGTAAATCTGGCTATGCTGTGCCCCCGCATTCAATTGGGTTAGGTCCCATTTATCCATTTGTGCATTAGAATTTTCCGATAAATGTTACATATTTAATATTTAAATACTAAGGAGTGTTATGTTATATTCAAGAGTTGTCTTGAAAGCAAATCACTGTTACATAAAAAGAATTTATAGTGATTTTCTACATTAGGCCTTCCTGTCTGGAATTGCAATTTGCTTTTCTGTTAATTGTTACTTCTAATGCTGGGTGAGAAACTCATGTTGAAAAATTATATAATCTGACCATAAACCTTCTCCTGTGATGTAAAGCACAAGGGGAAATCTATATATTTGCTGTTATTATTTGACTTTCCGAGGCGATCGGCTCCGGGCAGACACATTCTGCAGCGGAGCAGGGAATCGGACAGGCAGGGCTAATTTTTTCCAGCACCGAGCCCACTCGAGGGAGCTGCCAGGACCTGGCAGCCCTCGCGAGGGAGCGCAAGCGACCAGGAGTGCAGCAAACAGGATGGGCAAACAGGGCGTGGCGCGGCAGTTAGGGCGTGGCGCGGCAGTTGGCGTGTGGCGCGGCAGTTTGCACAGGCAGGGCAAGCAGGCAGGGCAGAGCAATTCCCCCTGCCTATACGAAAACCTCCTCTAATGGCGATCTACTGCTAGCTCAGCTGCAATGGTGTACACCAGGCACAGCATGGATAACAAACTGGAGGCGCTGGAAGCCATTGTGCGGCAGGCAGGGTTCGACTTGGTTGCCATCACGGAAATGTGGTGGGACCACTCTCGTGACTGGAGTGCTGCAATGTCTGGCTATAGGCTCTTCAGAAGGGACAGGCAGCATGGAAGGGGTGGTGGTGTGGCTCTCTATATCAGAGAGAGTTTTGATGTCGCGGAACTTGAGGCTGGGAATGATAAGGTTGAGTCCTTATGGGTTAGGATCAGCGGGAAGGTCAACAAGGGAAGCATCCTGGTGGGGGTCTGTTATAGACCGCCGAACCAGGTTGAGGAGACTGATGATGAGTTCTACAGGCAGCTGACAGAAGTTGTGAAATTGTCAGCACTTGTTCTTGTGGGGGACTTCAACTTCCCAGACATATCCTGGAAGCACAACACAGCCCAGAGAAAGCAGTCTAGGAGGTTTCTGGAGAACATGGAAGATACCTTCCTGACACAGCTGGTTAGTGAGCCTACCAGGGGAGGTGCCCCGCTAGACCTTCTCTTCACAAACAGAAAAGGACTGGTGGGAGATACGGTGGTTGGAAACTGTCTTGGGCAGAGTGAGCATGAAATGATAGAGTTCTCCATTCTTGGAGAAGTCAGGAAGGGGACCAGTAAAACCGCTGTATTGGACTTCCAGAGGGCTGACTTTGAACTGTTCAGGGCACTGGTTGGTAGAGTCCCTTGGGAGGCGGTTCTGAAGGGCAGAGGAGTCCAGGAAGGCTGGGTGCTCTTCGAGAGGGAAATCTTAGGTGCCCAAAGACGAGCCAGCGGGGAAGAAGACTGGCCTGGCTGAACAGAGAGTTGTGGCTTGAGCTTAGGAGGAAAAAGAGGGTTTACAATCTTTGGAAAAGAGCGCGGGCCAGGAGGACTATAAGGATGTTGCGAGGCAGTGCAGGGACAAAATTAGAAAGGCCAAAGCTCATCTGGAGCTCAATCTGGCTACTGCCGTCAAAGACAACAAAAAATGTTTCTACAAATACATTAATGCAAAATGGAGGACTAAGGAGAATCTCCAGCCTTTACTGGATGCAGGGGGAACTTAGTTACAAAAGATAAGGAAAAGGCGGAGGTGCTTAATGCCTTCTTTGCCTCAGTCTTTAGCAGCAAAAACAGTTGCTCTCTGGATACCTAGTACCTTGAACTGGTGGAAGGGGATGGGGAGCAGGATGTGACCTTCACTATCCATGAGGAAATGGTTGGCAACCTGCTACGGCACTTGGATGCACTCAAGTCGACGGGGCCGGGTGGGATCCACCCGAGGATACTGAGAGAACTGGCAGAGGAGCTGGCCAAGCCGCTTTCTATCATTTATCAACAGTCCTGGCTATCAGGGGAGGTCCCAGTCAACTGGTGGCTAGCAAACGTGACGCCCATCTATAAGAAGGGCCGGAGGGCAGACTTGGGAAACTACAGGCCTGTCAGTTTGACCTCAGTGCCAGGGAAGCTCATGGAGCAGATTATCTTGAGTGTCATCACGCAGCACTTATAGGGCAACCAGGTGATCAGGCCCAGTCAGCATGGGTTTATGAAAGGCAGGTCCTGCTTGACGAACCTGATCTCCTTCTATGACAAAGTGATGCGCTTGGTGGTTGAGGGAAAGGCAGTGGATGTGGTCTACCTTGACTTCAGCAAGGCTTTTGACACCGTTTCCCACAGCATTCTCCTCAAGAAATTGTCTGCTTATGGCTTGGACTGGTGTATGCTTCATTGGGTTCAAAACTGGCTGGACAGCCGGGCCCAAAGAGTCGTGGTGAATGGAGTCAAATCCAGCTGGAGGCCGGTCACTAGTGGCGTTCCCCAGGGCTCGGTACTGGGGCCGGTCCTCTTTAATATCTTTATCGATGATCTGGATGAGGGGATCGTGTGCACCCTCAGGAAGTTTGCAGATGACACCAAGGCAGGTGTGTGTGTCGATCTGCTTGAGGGTAGGAAGGCTCTGCAGGAGGATCTGGATAGGCTGCACTGATGGGCTGAGGTCAACTGTATGAAGTTCAACAAGGCCAAGTGCCGGGTCCTGCACTTGGGGTGCAATAACCCCAAGTAGAGCTACAGGCTGGGAGATGAGTGGTTGGAAAGCTGCCAGGCAGAGAAGGACCTGGCAGTATTGGTGGATAGTCAGCTGAATATGAGTCAGCAGTGTGCTCAGGTGGCCAAGAAGGCCAACAGCATCCTGGCTTGCATAAGAAGCAGTGTGGCCAGCAGGTCTAGGGAAGTGATCATCCCCCTGTACTCGGCTCTGGTGAGGCCGTACCTCGAGTACTGTGTTCAGTTTTAGGCCCCTTGCTACAAGAAGGACATGGAGGTGCTTGAGCGAGTCCAGAGAAGGGTGACGAAGCTGGTGAGGGGTCTGGAGAACAAGTCCTACGAGGAGCAGCTGAGGGAGCTGGGTTTGTTCAGCCTGGAGAAAAGGAGGCTCAGGGGCGACCTTATCGCTCTTTATAAGTACATTAAAGGAGGCTGTAGCGAGGTGGGGGTTGGTCTATTCTCCCATGTGCCTGGTGACAGGATGAGGGGGAATGGGCTAAAGTTGCGCCAGGGGTGTTTTAGGTTGGATATTAGGAAGAACTTCTTTACTGAGAGGGTTGTGAGGCATTGGAATGGGCTGCCCAGGGAAGTGGTTGAGTCACCATCCCTGGAGGTCTTTAAAAGATGTTTAGATGTTGAACTTAGCGATGTGGTTTAGTGGAGGACTTGTTAGTGTTAGGTCAGAGGTTGGACACGATGATCTTGAGGTCTTTTCCATCCTAGACAATTCTGTGATTCTATGATCTGTTATTCTGTGATTTAAAGCTACAGAACATTTGAAGTATTATTTGAAGACTATACATGTATATTGTGAAAAATAAATAGAATACTTACTTGAAGGTACCAAATATATTATTATAATCTTTTAATTGTATGTCTTGTAAACCTGGGTCTTGGCAGAGGAAATTAACACATGATAAAAATTCAGCACTCAGTTGTGCTAGCCATCTGAAGTCAAATACAAAGTCTGCAGAAGGTATATTCACAGTGATACATCTATTTTTCATGATCAGATTAACCTTCGGAGAAACATTCTGGATTACCAAGTATATCAGATGTTTATGAATACAACATCAAACCTGAAGTATATATTTCAGACAAGATTCTGAATTACTGATAGATAGAGTAATGCTGTGGTATATTTCCTTACCTTCAGAAAGTTTTCCTTGGCTTCCTCAGAAGCAACAAGGTAAAAGTTTTGTCCATACTGGAAATTTGCATCAAAAACTACCAGAAGTTCTTCCCCTGGATATTCCTATTTTAATTAAAACAAACATTGGAAAACTGAAAACAAATAACATGCAAAAAGACATAAGACTATGCCTGCTAAAACTACCATTAATGAGATTATGTAAACTCAGAATCTTTGGTTAATCTTGTGATTTTAACAGAGAATTTCATGTGTCAAATTAAACAACAAACTGTTTCAATAGTTTTCAGTAAGTAGGCTATGAATCAGAGAAAGCCAAAGTATGTTCAGCTCTGTTACAGAATCAAAACTAGTACGACTTACTTTACTTTTAGCATATTTTCAATCTAAAATTGTTGTTGTTGTTATTATTTAGTGCATGGTGGGCCATGACAAACTTCTAGAGTTGACAGTGGTCCATGACCTTTGGATATAAGTGATAATGTTTTTACAGAGTCAAACAAGGACAGAATTTATCATTAAAAGAATATGTGCTCTGAGAGTTTGAAGTGGGAATGAAATAAGCTACATACTAGAATAACTCTTTTGACAGGGTGGAAATCAGAAATAGCAGCTCTCGTTTTCAGGTCCTGAATTATGTCTTCTTTTTTAATAAGTTTGAAACAATTTTCTTCTGTGACATCCTCATCCACTCGGCAATTAAAGATTTCTTGGGTTTTTGTAGTGAAGACTAAGGGAAAAATTTCTGGGTGGCCTATGAAGGAAAGCAAAATTGCATGATAAACAAATTTAGAGTGCTCTTTAAATGTAAACATATCCCTTAATAACTCCAGGTCTTTACTGTTTCCTAGCAGAATGCCTTTGAATCTTGCAGCTTAGTTTTTGGTATTTTTGAAGGTGTGGAATACAAATTATATTACATTTTGCTTATCTTGGAAATGACTGTACCTAACATTTTCTACTTAATGAATATGTGTTAGTCTTAGTATGAGTGTTTTTCTTTTGATCAACAGGTGGTTATGAATTTTATAAATATAGATTAAGGAAACAAGAGTACTTGGTTATATACTTTAGTCCTTCCCTGTAGAGCAACGCCATGTTAAGCCACTGTTCAATCTAAATACAGCTTCAATACCACCCCAAATAAGGACGCCTCTCTGATTTTGGATTTAGGCCTTCCTCTCATTCAGTTCTGACTATTATTGAGTCTATTTTTGAGCTAGTGGGTGAGACTGAAGTGCAGTCACTAAGATTCAAACCAGGTACAAGAGGTTTTTTTAAGCTTGGCTGGAGAATATATAGTATAGTATAGAATATATAGAAGGAGGCTCAGGGGAGACCTTATCGCTCTTTATAAGTACATTAAAGGAGGCTGTAGCGAGGTGGGGGTTGGTCTAGTCTCCCACGTGCCTGGTGACAGGACGAGGAGGAACGGGCTAAAGTTGCGCCAGGGGTGTTTTAGGTTGGATATTAGGAAGAACTTCTTTACTGAGAGGGTTGTGAGGCATTGGAATGGGCTGCCCAGGGAAGTGGTTGAGTCACCATCCCTGGAGGTCTTTAAAAGATGTTTAGATGTTGAACTTAGCGATGTGGTTTAGTGGAGGACTTGTTAGTGTTAGGTCAGAGGTTGGACTCAATGATCTTGAGGTCTCTTCCAACCTAGACAGTTCTGTGATTCTGTAATGAGGCCAAGATCTGGATTCTACTTTTGCTTATCAATTTTGGCAATGAGACCGGACTCAGAAAAAGTGCATAGTCTGTTGATTTAAAAAATGTAATATTTTTAAGAAACTGCAAAAGTTAATCTAGAGGACTCCCAGGTCATCCTAACCAAAGACATGAGGCCTCATAAGGAAATGGACTGAAACCGAAGTACAAATTACAACAGAACAGATAGACTTTACATTTTGATATATTGGAGCCATAAATTAAATCTCGTTTTGCAAACTACATTTCTTAAAGCATATCTGATAAATTAGTAAAAAGGGGTGGAGAAAAAAAATAATACAAAGACAAAACACAAAAACAGTACTGGGAGGTGAAACAGTCCCCTCTTGCTTACAGTGGGAAACCTTCTATCTGAAAGTATGACTAAGAAGGTATGACTATCCCTTTGCTGTGCTCTTGGCATAAGCCAGGAGGATAGAAACCTAGAGTTGCCTACAAAAAAGAATGCAATTTCCATCTCTGCCATACACAACTGGTTCACAGGACGGAATGGACAGGAAAGGCAATGGAAGAGCAGATTTGTATATATCACAGTCTTCAGAGTTGGTTATGTGGCTAGTGCAATTTAGAGGAGTAGAAATTAAAAATTTAGAAGCATAATTTGTTGATTGTTTTGTGAATTTCTAGTAGAAGATTATTCCCATGGCTCAAAGTATATTAAAGTAAAATTGAACAATTAAATTTTTGATACATAAAAAATAGTTAAGTAGACATAACTTTTTTTTAGGAAGCTTGTATGATGACTTTTTTTTTTAATGCTGAATCAGATGCAAACAGTCTTGTCCACAAACACTAAAGTTAAAATCTTCTCAAAGAGATGTGGGTTTCAATGTCAAGAGAAACAATACAAGCATGTATTAAAGTTAAAAGTTAAAGTTAAGCAAAATACAATAGACATCATTATGAGAGAGAGCAGAGTAGGACAGATAGTCTAAGTGGTGTTTTTTCACTGCTCAACTGCTGTAGGTCCAAGTTAAAAACAAAGCAGTCATCAGATTTAAAATGTGAATATCTTTTAGTCAAAAGTACTAATATTCTGTATTATAGAATTGTACTGTTCAACATTCTATATTATAGGGCACATGTTACAGAGTCTTGGGATCTATATGTAGATCTATATTGTAGATTCATAAGGAGCTGTTATTAGAATTCTTACCAGTATGAACATTTTTATTGAATGCTGTTTTCCAGTAAAAAGTATGTAGCATATATACTTCATATTTTATTCCAATAGTAAATTGTATTCATGTACTTTGAAAAGACCATAGCTCTTTGTGCTGTCAGCACTTCACAAAGGGCCAAAAACTCTACAAGAAGTAAAGAACATTTGGAGGTCTTGCACTAAGGAGATACGGTGGATACAGTTTAAATCCTGCACAGACAGTGACTAAAGAGCATCATTTTTTCATTTCTACTGTCAGATTAGGTATTACAGATCTAACCTTATTTGCCACTAGGTGGAGCTAACATCCACTCAGTGACAAAACAAAGAATCTCCAAGAACACCATGATTTTAATTTTAAAAGTACGACTTTCATGATCTGAGCAATCACTTGTCCATTTTCTTTAATTGCAGATTACCCATTTTGGTGAAGTTGGTCAGAGTGCACTTTTCACTTTCACCTACATTTGTATAGGATTGTGTACGAAGGCAAGTGATAGACAAAGTCTTTAATAATTACCAGGTTTGTATATTCCTAGCTTGTCATGTAATATTAAATAATCAGACTTAATAATGATTTGACAAAATCAAAGATTAAAAAATGATTAAAATGCCTTTTTTTCTTACAATTACTACATATTATTAAATTCAAACATTTTGTATCCCATAATTCTGTTGCAATGCTCTTTATTTCCCCTGATCACAGCTCCTCTCAATCCAAGATAAAAACATCTACAAACCCTTATCTGCTTCTTTTCTCACTGCGCTAGTGCTACTCAGAGAACGGTACTGTTTGTAATCACTATTGTAATAGACATGCTTCTTCCCAGTTTCTATTTTTTCCCATTCATATATTATTTTTTTCCTTTTCATTTCATGGCATTAGTAACACTGAAACTTCAAAATGCTGAAAATATTCCAAAACTATTACTTTAAAGCCCAGTCATTGTAGCACTTACCTATTCCTTCCATAGAAAGATCAACTTCATCTTTTTTATCTGAAATACAACGACATGATGTTATCAGTATTTTTTCTTCCTAAAAAAAAAAAAAACAAAAAACAACAAAAAACACAAACAAACAAAAACAAACAAAAAAACAAACACAAAAACATGAATAACAGTCTTTTCCTTGTTTGGGCAATGTTTAAAATCTTAAAATCGTGGGGCAATCATCATGCAAATCATGTCATGTGAGGAGGTGATAAACAGACAAGGCTGGCTAATGTGGTACAGTAGCAGAACTGGCAGGTGTGCGGGTAGGAGCAGATGTTCCTCCCTCCTAACAGTGGAGAAGTCAGACTTGCTCTGAGTGGCAAGGTACTGCAGGAGTTGGACATTCATCAGCTCCTGAGAGAGAACCTACAAACTCCACGGAGGGGTAGGATAGGAGGAGATTACCACTGATTAGCAGAATATTCTCTGCAGCACAACAGCTATTAATCAAATGGGGGCAAAAAGGTGATTAGAAGGGAAGACCAATTTATGGAAGTTGGCTGTTGTGGCCAAAAAAACCAATGAACTACCAACAAGAGATTTGTATTTAGCAAGGCCTTTTTCTAGCCTTATGTTTCCTTAACTGCACTGTAAATGACGCAAGTGGTGTAGTCTCTCATCGCATCTCAGAAAAATACAATAAAATGCACTGCAATTAAATTGTGAGTCTTTGGTTTATTTTCAAAGTGGTGTTGTTGATCACTTTAGTGTGTGATTCTGAGCATCTAAACTCCAGCTGTGGGGGCACCTTTCTCTGCCATGGACTAAGTTAGCTCTTGTAAATTTCCCCCCTTAAATGTATGAAGTCTCCTCATTTCCCATTCAATACTGATTTTATGATGCAACAAGCTATTACATCTAAACTACAAAGTGTAAACAGACACAAAGTGTACAAAGTGTAATAGACACAAAGTGTAAATATTGTAATGTGGCTTTATGTTCCATATTTTGGTTACAAAGACATTATCTGTAATCATAGATCACTCAGTTGTTTATAAAAATAGTATATTCTAATTTATCTCATGTTTACTTAAATGCCTGGGCCCAAAATAATTAAGGTAGCTGTTATGCAAAATCGGATAACTGCTTTCTTTATATCTGCAGTACCTTACATACCAAGCTGTTTTCGTTTTCCTTTTGAGGATCGCTTAGCTTTGTCACCTTTCTGTTTCTTTGGTGAGGTTTTTGGACTTTTCGAGGTGGTCTTGCTGGATCTGAGATTTCCTGACATGTTTTCAGATTTTCTAGAGAAAAATACATATCATCAATAAACAGTAGACAAGCAGTGGCATGCACTGTGTGTGAGTGAAAATTTGGCCCTTTATGTAGTTTATTATTATAATTTAAATTTTAGCTACAGCCAAAGGTATGCTCCAGAATTTTAAATCATAATCTTTATTTTTATATGATATGTGATAGTTGGAAATACTCCTGTCCAGGGTCATTAAGTATGGAAACTGATTTTCCAAAACAGTAGGAAGTTAAAATAGAATAGGCATTGCCCTTAAAGAAAGCTAAAGAACCTGAGCCACAGTGTGAAAAATATAGGTCAAAATTCTACAGCTGCACATATTTGTCCCAGTGTCCTCAATTATAAAATCATTAAAATCATTACACAGCTGCACAAACTATTTTTGTGCTTTTGCATTTCCATTTCATTTTTCAGCGTAAGTCTGTGGAAGACAAACTTGGGAAGAAATTGTATGCATGAGTACAAGCAGCAATCACACAGCTGGAGACTATACTGCATAGAAAGCTACTTTTATTTCATTTACTCCCCTTCTTCCAAGTATCTAGAATAAGCATAAGAACAACAGTGCGGAAAAGACTCCATTCCATTGCAAAGAAGAAAACGAAATACAGCCTGCCCACACTGTGCAGACTGGACAACACACCACCAAAAAATAGAGCTCCAGCACCATCATGTGGAAGATGTACTTGTAGCATCTGGTAAAGCTACACCAGAATGCTCCAGAATTTGTTATGAAAAGTATTGAAAATTGATACTGTTACTGAACAGCTGGAGGTATTCAGCTGGGATAAGGACAATGGGACTCCCAGTTTTTGTGCTCCAAGTATCCCTGGTGACAGGAAAGAAATTTGAACCCTCTCCCCACTTCCATGTCCCCACTTTTTCTTAGTACTGTAAACTGACAGGCAGAGGAACTGTTTCTTAATATATACAGAGCACATACAGTATTTGGGTGCTACTGTCATTCTGGGTTGGTCATTCACTCCCAGACTGTGAAACATGGTGTTTATCTGTTTTGTAACACAGTTCTCAAATCCTTGAGAAGCTAGCAATATAATTTTAGCTTCCAAATTATTTTTTTTTAGTTTGAAAATGACCACTGAGGGCAAGATGGAGGTCACAGATTATAGCCTGGTGGTATAGCCTGTATTTGGGACCTATGTAACTTCACGTGAACTCAGGATAAGTTTTGCTATTGACTTTAATGGCAGCAAGATTTAAACTCTTATTACAGTTATGCATTTTTATCCTGCTCCAATTAAAACAGAAAAATACTTTCTAAATCCCTGTGCTCCTTTCTCTGGATCTTGCAGATCATAGGTAATAAGCTGCGGGCATTTCTCTGTTGTCTATTTATTAACACAAATACAATCTCCTTGCTTACTCCATCTGAAGACCTGTAGCAATTTAATCTTCTGTTTTTGCCAAAAATGCAAGATAATAACAACACAACAAGTTATTGCTTTAGAATTCTGAAACTTTTGACTTGCAGTAGCTAATGGTTTTGGAAGTTTAAAAAAAAAAAAAAAAGTATGTACTGTAAGGAGAAACTTAGGAGGTTTTTTCTGCCCTCATTCTTACAGTCATTTTGTCAAGTACAGGATTACAAACATTGACAGTGTATTTGTTATGTTCAACATTCAATATATTTTCTCAGTTATAACCTTTTAAAGGTGCCTCTACACTGGACAATGCCTAGTTTACAGTTCTGAAACACTTGGAGCTGCCTAACTTAGAGGGCATGCTACTTCAGATGGTTAAGAGAGGCTAATTTTCTCATTTAATGAAAAAAAGGGTATTTTCTTTTTATTTTCTATTTCTTTGTATATTTTAAGTAAAATCTGTTACACATTTTACAGAGGGATTTTGTGTCTATTCTAACTTGAAACCAACCTTGATACTTCTGAATAAAAGAGACAGTGGCCTCCAGGATAGAAGGAGAGGACAGTTGTTTTAGAAATTATTTTAAGGGCACTATGAACCATCTCATGTGCATTATAGTCACAGCGTCTTACTTTCCTGTTTCCTGATTATGCTCTGAAACAAAGTCACTTTGGAAAATTTGAGTTCTTCTGAGTAACCTAAACCCTAAGTCACATGCATGGAGGAAACATTGAAAGGGCAGAGATAAATCACATGGCTATTTTTAGTAGAATAACTTGCAAGTAAAAACAACCCTTTTCCTTTGAATTACTTCAAGAATATTATACCTAGAAAAACAGTTAAAATTTTTGGAAGTTGTCTCCAAGTAATGCAGTTCTTCTTCCTTTAACTGAAAGAATCAACTGTATTATGGAGATATGGGGACCGTTGGTGAAGGCGGGGAGGGTGACCGTGTATCTATCCTATATGTTAACAGCTGCAAACGAATACAGCAATCAATAAGGACTGCTTATGGTTCCATCTGTGGTGACAGAACGTCACCAACTGGAAAGCAGATATATCCAAAGCAGTTAGAAAAATACAAGTAAGTAAAATACAAAGTAATTATCTCTTTTTACAATATCCCTAATAACACATTGCATCTGCCTGTTTGTCATCTTGTGGGCATATGATTATGGTTAGGAAACATTTACAGTCTCCAATGAAAGCCAAAGCAGAACTTCTGAAAATTTCTGTGGAAGATTATCTAGGCTATATCCATTTACAAACTGTATATGCACATTTTTTAAACTTTTTTTTTTTTTTTAAGTTAAAAAGCAAACAGACAAAACCAAGAATTATGCTACTAATCACTAGTGTGGGAAACTGGCACCAGCTGAGAACTGTAAAATACGAGCTGACCAGCAATCTTCTACTCCCCAGCTCTTCCAAAAAGAGTGAGCACATGGGGAACCCGTGGCCAGGAGCTACAGCAGACCATGCTGCCAGGCAGGGCTGGGCCTCGGTAATTTCTTGCATCAGCATGCCAGGCACTGGCACCGTTGCTCCTATTCAATGTTGTGTTTTACTTCATGGGAAAAAAAAGTGCTTGGAAAAAAAGTACTTGCATACAATGTGCTGATTTACCTCTTTTTAAGTGTTTAGACTGTGAGACATGAGAAAATCAGTTGTTTGCCTGGTGGAAATCTTACAATCTATATTGATTTCATACAATATAAGGTCTTAAATGTGAAGAGAATTTTTTAAATCTGTGGTTAGCTCCTATCCTGTTAGGGATATTGCTGTGTTGCTTCTTTAGAAAGAACTCTATAATACAAATATTTATCCACAAACAGGCAAGAATGCATTATACTTTCCATTAATGCTTATATAAATCTATGATGCTGTGATTGAAAGTGAGGTTAGAAACAGTGTTTACATTAACAAATTTTGAAAAATTTAAAAGTGCAAAAACTACTAAACCTTGGAAATCAGTTGTCATGTACACTACCCTATATTTTATTTTTTTAAGGTAACATTTTATTAAAATGCTTCAATAAATATGTTCAAACTAATTTTTCAGCAAATTTTCAGTGGAACACGGTGTCACATGTTAATTGGTAAGGCCCAATTAAAGCTGCAAATGTTTGACAACATCCTTTGACGTTTTGTAGCCTCATTTATTTTTAGTTGGATTTCATATCCTGATCTGCAGGGTCAAGAGAAACAGCCGGCTCAGAATGTTCTCTGGTGGGTAATGGGCTGAGACAGTCACAGTTACAAAACAGGTCCACAAAGTTGCTAGGTAAGGCAAAAGGGGAAAGTTAATTAGCTACCGGTGGCACAAAAGCTGCTGTCAGAATTGAGGTCGGAGTGATTCATTGCTTGCCTAATTGGATGATTTAAGATCCAGCTTGTGTGCATTACTAATTTAGGCCTGCAATTTGCTACGGTTTGGAAATGACAAAACGTGAGTCCGTTTGACAAAAGCACTGCGAGGAAATTATTAAAAACATGCTCTATTTTTGTGGCTTTACTGGGGGTTCTTTAGCTTGTGGGACTGTCAAGCTGAAAACCACGCTTCGGTCTGTCAACATTTGGGAACCCGTTAAAAATACCATCTTATGACCCAGCCTCCACGTAGGTTCTTGTACAAAATACACATGCAGCCTGGTCCCCACAGCAGTGCCAGCTGCCGGGAGGCACACCGCGCGCTGCTCTGCCCTACGGCGCTACCGCTGCATTGAACGCCTAAACTTGCGTTACACACAGCGCTCGTACATACCGGGACACGGCTTCTGTACGGGTGTTGAGGGGAGCAGAGCCGGCGTTTGTGCCTCTGGTTTAGTTACGTCCCTGTACACGCGCACAGCGGGGCCCCGCGCCGCCCCGCGCCCTCTCTCAGGGCGCCTCAGCCCCCCGCCCGCCGCTACCTGCGCGGCCCGGCCCCGCCGCGTCCCTGGCGTCCCGCGGTTGTCACGGCAACGGGGCGGGGCAGGATTGACGCGCCCAGCGGCCAATCAGTGCTCCGCCTCCGCGGGAGGAAGTCGCTATTGGTTATTCCGCGCGGCCGGCTAGAAAAACTACGCGTCCCACCATGCCGTGCGCGCAACGGCTCGCTGCCGGCGGGGCGAGCGGGGAGCAGAGCATCATGGGGGCTGTAGTAGGCGACCGCTCCGCGCTGCCGGCTCCGCGGGCAGGGCGCTGCCGTGCCGGTCCCCGCTGCCCGTGCCGCCCGGCCGCCCGCAGCCATCAGGGCGCTGCAGCGCTGGGACCGGCTCCGTGCAGCGAGGTGACGGCAGCCCGCGGGCCGCATCCCTGGGCGGGGGGGCGGAGGCGGGAGCGGGGGCGGCTGCGCTCGGGGCCGGTGCGTGCCCCCCGGGGGTGCCGAGCGGCGGGGGGCTCTCGGGGCGTGATGGGGGCACGCGTGTGCTGTGACAGGGCGCGGGGGCAGCGGGGGCAGCCGTGCCCCGGGGGGTTTGCCGGGGTGTGATTTCTGTCGGAGTTACGTAGGAAACTTTTATTAAGCGAATTGAAGAAAGAAGCCGAATCCGGCACGTCTGTAGGTTTATCCGTGACCCGGGCTGCCTGCTGTGTGCTTGCTGCCAGCAGCCTTCCTCTGGGCGGAGCGGCCCTGGCTGCCTGCTGACAGCCGGCAGCGTCTGTCAGGCGCTCGGGACGCAGGGAGCGGTGCTCCCGGGGGGCTCTGCCCGCCGCTGCCTCAGTGCTCGTCCAGCCCTGCCTCTGCCCCGCCGCTGCCCGCCGCCCCGAGGTCCCGCGGTGCCCGTGCCCGACAGCGGCGGGCTCGGGGCCGGGGAGGAGGCACCGACGGGGCAGGTCGGTCCCCAGGGAGTGCTGCCCGAGGCCTCGGGGCTCTGCCGGGCAGAAGGAAGTGAGTCAGGGCGCCCTGCAGGCGTGGTGTTGGTGCTGGGAAGAGGTTTTCCACAAGTGACTTTATAATTCCCCGGGGCAGAAATTCCATTGCTAAATAGGTGCTCTGAGCTCCGGGCTGTGAGGCTGCCGGTATGGGCTCTGTAGAGCACTGCACCGTGACGGATTGGGTCCCCCGTTCAGGGTGACGTGCAGGTGCCTTCACAGAAGACAAACACCTCGGAACCCAGGTCCTCAGTGCAGACCAGCCTGATGCTGCTGTATTCCTGCTTGCACCTTTTCCAACTGCTGTGCACCTTTGTCATTTCAGAAATGGAAAATCCGGAAGTGGCCATAAGCAGCTGCATTGCTTATGATGATGAAGGGCTCTGCAGTTACAAACAACACCCGTCAGCATCACAGGAGCTGCTGGTGGAAGACCAGCTCAGAAGGAAGTTGAAGTTCTTCTTTATGAACCCATGTGAAAAATTCTGGGCTCGGGGCAGGAAGCCTTGGAAATTTGGGATTCAGCTACTCAAAATAGCAATGGTTACTATTCAGGTGAGTAAGTATGGAAGCAGGGACTCTTCTTAGTCCAGGGGAATTCAAAAGGGGGGTGTAGATGACAGATGCTTTTCTTGGTCTGGTGTGGAGACTGGGAGAGGATAAACTGCAAAACTGTCTTAGCTACATACATGTAGCTTACATCTCAGGATCTCATTAGGCATATTTTTTTCTTAAACTGTTGACTGAAAAAGCTTTACTGAGAGTAGATATGAAAGGAACCATCTTCAAGGGCTTTCTTCTTTTTCCCCTTTTCCACTTCCTCTCCTTTTTTGAAGGATGGCATCCTTACATGTCTATTACCCCCAGTACCATTTTCACTGTGTGTGTGTGGCTAGGAGAAGGAACAGTGGCGTGCATTACAATAGTGAAATTGATACCTGTTTTGTGCCCATAGCTTGTGCCTTGCATGTGCTATACAAACGCTTGTATCCAATAAAGCAAAAATTCTGCCCCATTCTTCTTCTCACCCAGCCTTGCACAGCAGATTTCTTGTAACAAAGTAATCTGTTCCTGAGATGCAATGGTTTTCTCAGAGCAACCTGGGTAGAGAGTTAGGAAGTTTTCCGTGTAACATTTCTAATTCCTTGGGTGATCATCCTTCAGGGTTGCCCACGTGATTTACACTCATGGCGGTATTAGTATGAAAATACAAGTATGGAGAAGAATGCTTTCCACAGTTACCTGAAAGATGGGAAAAACTATAGGAACAGTAGTTTTTTTACTACTCATCTAGAAGTATGTTTGTATTCCCCACTTTGTGCTTTAGTTTCAAATATATCCTCATCCTCTGATGATCATTTGTCCCATTTTGCAATTAGAAATAAAATTTGATGGTTCAAGAACCTAAATAAGAAAGAAACTAATGGTAATTTACCCTAGACTTTTCAGAGAAAATCTGCCAGTAGGTAATTAAATCTTAGTGCTGTTGATTAGCCAATGTATTTGTCTGTGCCTTGAATACCAAGCTTGCTCACAGACTATTTTAGTATCTCTGTAATTGAGTTATCCTTATCAAAAAGTATATATACAGTTTGCATCATGGCCATAAAGCTAATCTACAGACTGTTGATTCAGACTTAATCTCTGATGAGTTTCTTCACAATAGTTCCAACACTAGGTATGAAACAATAGTCACTAAAGAGAATTGTGAGCTCCTGCAAACAATAGAGCATGTTTTTTCGGAAACCTTTTCCAGCCTGGATGTTAGCTAGCAGGGTTTTATGCTAACTCTTCATGAACTGATGCAGTATCATTTTTTGACGGCTTTGAAGGTTATCCTATTACAAGCACAGTTTTCATCAATTACTGTCAAAGCACCTTCTACCCAAACCTGAGGGAGAGATGTTTGCTTTCTTTTGACTTGTCCTCAGTTTGCCTTTTCTGCCCTGGAGTCAGGACTTCCAAGGTGGGTCTGGTTATGTCCAGTCCTGCCTTTTGGCTGAGAAACACTGATATTCCTCAAGGCAAGTTATATTAATGTCAGGCTGAACTAAGAAATCACACGTAATAGTATAGGGGTAGCTTGAATTTGGGTTGGTATACTGTTCTTTGTGAAAATGTGAGTCCTTAGCCAAGACACTGGTAACCATGTTAAAAGAACACTCTTGAAAGCCATTATTTCCTTATAGCCAGACTTGACCAGCTGCAAAATGGAGTAGCCTGCATGTAAGTGCTGTGTTTACCAGCATGATGAGAGTAGCTGTTTGTAGGACAGGATTTATCTACTAGTCCAGAAGCCAAATTTGCCTTTAAACAGGAAATACAAATGTCTTTTCAGCTTGTGCTTTTTGGACTGAGCAATCAAATGGTGGTTGCCTTCAAAGAAGAGAACACTGTTGCATTCAAACATCTCTTCTTGAAAGGGTACATGGACAGAACAGATGACACCTATGCTGTTTACACACAGACAGATGTCTATGACCAGATATTCTTTGCAATTAACCAGGTAAGGGTTGTCACTGCAATGTATACAATATACATGCTTTTGTATATATTTGTATATATTTTTATATTTGTATATATTTTTATACCTGTGTGCCTTTTCTTCCTCCTCCTTCCCTGATGTCTGAGATTGCATGTGTGCACCTGTTACTTAGCACTCAAATATTGACTTGTTCAGGGTTTTTTTGAAAGAGGGGAAGATTTGTGTCCCATCTATCAAATGCAAATTAAGATGTGACATACATATGGTAAAGTGTTTTGAGTTAATGTTGCCCTGGAAACCTACTTTTCATGGAAAGATGAGGACCCGAACACTGCTCTTCCTCTGTTTACAGGCGCTTTATGATGAGGTAACAAATTTTAATTGCTGAATATCAAAGGTTTTTTACTGGGTGGCAGACTCCCCTGCTAGATTTCCCTAAATACTTTGCCTTAAATCTGCCACTTCTTTCCTAATGGATTCAATAACTGCTTTTTGGAAAAAAAAATATATTGTAGACACACATTTTTTTTATTGTTTGGAGAAATATCTGCTTTCCAGCTATCACTGAATGTGAGGCAAACTCAAAAGACTGGTTTCAGTCTGGAAACCTGCAAAGCAGTTGGGATGGGATGATTGCTTTTCTGCTTTCCCTGCCCTGTGGGCATGATTGCTGCATGGGGGACTGAAGCCTCCAGACTGGGATTAAGCTAACAAGGAGTTAAATGAAACCGGATTAATGGAAAACTAGGAAAAAACTGAAGAAACTTTGATCTTGCTGCTCTTCCTATATTAGAAGTCTTTAAGAAATCAACTGGTACAATATTAGTTGAATATAGTTAACACTGAGTAAGCCATTTCTGGAATGAACTGGTGGAGAAATCCATTGATTTGCCAAGAAGAGAAACAGACTGTAAAAAGAGCTAATCAGTATACTAATTCTGCACTCAATGCACTCCTTGGGTTTGAGCCAGAGTGCTTTGCAAACAGTGAATTAAACTTTCTAATAAGGACTGTAAGGAGAAAACAATACAAAGCAAAAAGGCATTTAGACCCAAATTCTACACTTCTTGCTTTTGTCAGATTCCTTCAGGTATTTGAGGACTGAGCTGTAGCGTGGTGTACATTGCCAAGTTCTTTAGGTAACGTTTTAAATACGAAGACGGGTTATGGCACAGATCCAAACATTTGTGATTTTTGCTTGTTTCGTTGTTTGTTTGTTATTTTTGTTTCGTTTTGTTTTTGTTGTTGTTTCTTTTTCTTTGTTTGTTTAAGAGACAAATAGTTTTGGTGCAACCTGACTTGTTTTGTCTGTTCTGAACTTTAGTACTTACAGCTGCCCAATATCTCTGTTGGAAACCACGCTTATGAGAAGAGGGGAGCAGAAGAGACAGCCCTGGCTGTATGTCAGCAGTTCTACAAGCGAGGAACCATCTGTCCTGGAAATGACACCTTTGACATAGACCCGGAGATTGTGACTGGTAATGGATCTCATCTATTGTATTGTTTCTCTGGGAGGAGGGAGCCTATATTTACATGGTAAATTCTTAATGAACATCCAGTACTATGTTGTCTATTCAAATGATGTGTACTGAAGTTAGCACCAGCCAAAACTCACAAGAAAAATACTGTGTAACTAATCTCACTTCCAGAAAAACTGTCCTTTATAACTATTGCCACAAAAAAAGGGGTGCTGTTATGATGACCATCTAATACAAGTATTTGAGGCTAATTTCAGGAGCCTTCCCAATGAATTCATGCTCAATGTCTTGGCTGGTGTTCAGCAAGCCAACGTATTTGTACCCTAGCCTCCAAAACAACTCATCACTTAAGCATGCTATCTTGGCTACTGTAGCCAACTGCTCTTTACAGCCTTCGGAATGGGAAAGGCAGATTACAGCTAAAGAGCATGATAACCCATGAGATTTTTTTGTGAGTACTTATCTATTGCAGACTGCTTGTACATTGAGCCGATGACGCCTTTAGACAACAGAACAGTGGGAAAGCACAATTTGAATTTCACTCTGGATTTCCACAGGTGAGGAGGAGTAAGTACTTCCCACATTGGTGTATTTTTGTGTTTCCCCTGCAAAAGGCTAATGCGAGACTCTGTTCCAGGCTAGTGGCAGTGCAGCTCATGTTCAATCTGAAGGCAATCAACCTCCAGACTGTTCGTCACCACGAGCTCCCTGACTGTTACGATTTCACTCTGACGGTACGTGGGAGCCTGCCATGCATCTTTCAGTTTGAAATGAGAATCCATTCTTGCTGATTTACTATACACAGCACAGATATTTCTGAGCTGTGTTGGGCACCATTCAGTGGTCCCCACCAGTGTCTGGATTACTCTGCCTTGAGTTGGTACCCTGTAAACCACCATCAGGTGTGATTGTAGAAGGTTAAGCTTTGAGTACTCCTGATGCAGTCCTCACACACTTGTTCAGTTTTCTGCTTTTTGTACTCTAATCCATCTGAAGTATGGGAAAGCACAAATCTCTCCTCTTTAGAGAGGTGCTTCTAGGAATGTGGATGTTTTTTTTCCTATTTTGGATATAGGGGGCTGTAGTTTAAAAGAATTTCACCTATATTTCAGTATCTAGTTGATCAACCAATTTGTGGCAGATATTTGCTTCACTAGATGTCTTTCATTTTGACCATGTTTATCTGAATAAACAAAAATTACTGTAAGCTTAAACAAGTTTCATAACTTCTGCCCTAGCAGAATTATTCTGCATCATTATGCAATCTTAGCAGTACAGTATGCTGTATATTTATGGTTTTACTTTAAGAAGACATGTGCTTTAAATTAATTTATTTTGTTAATACAGATACTGTTCGATAATAAAGCACATAGTGGAAGAATTAAAATAAGTCTAGACAACGACATAGAGATCAGGGAATGTAAAGACTGGCATGTTTCTGGATCAAGTAAGTGACATAAATGTGATCTAATTTTCATGCTAAACTTTCATCATACTAACATAATGTTCATTAACCTTTTAATGTATTTAAAGATGATGCACTATGGACATACATTATCTAGGGGATACACTTGAAATTCTGATTTTTTTCCTAAAGAATTGTTCTTCTTAAACTCTTGAAGTGAAGTCTTGGAACCTAGCCACATCATTACTTTTCTTAACAGCTCTCAGACCTTGTACCACTGATGCTGTTAAACTTTTTCCATCCTTCTTGTTTTGGCTACTGAGCTTAAGCCACTCGCTGGTTAAGGCAGGGTTTTGCAGTATTGCTGTAGCACTGGGCGACAGAAGGACATGTGATAGTGGTGGAAAGTTGAAACTGATTCACTCTTATTTCAGGACTTAACACCAGGCAGATAAGGAAGCATTGTTGCTAAGGGCTGCTAGAGTGCGAGGGCTAGAAACGCTTCTGATTGCTGTTTAAATGATCTTTGGTGTGTATTTGAGTGTAACTGAGATGCATGGTATGGTTAAATATCTGTTTTAGATAATTACTGACAAGAACACCCTTTGTTGTCACCTACTGTCTCCAGTCCAAACTTTGCCTGAGATCTTTTAAGATTAGAGGAAGTAATCTCTTTGAATGCCAGAAGCTTTCCAGGACTCCAAATTTCACTTGGTTTTCAATTTTTTGCTGATGTAAGCAATATGATGAAAGAAGTCCATTTTTATATTTGGCGTTTTCTCTTATGCTGTGCCTACATTAGGAAATTCCATTATGAACAGCTAATAGTAAGAAATGAGTGTTTTGTTTGATTTTTAAGATCCAGACTGGAATTAATTTTGCAAATTTATTGAAATGCATCACAGAGGACAAGACATACCACTTAAGCAAACACACATTCTGCTAAACAGTCTTTATCAACTGGCTTCGCTAGATGCCGTGTTATAAATGCACACCAGATGGCATACTACTGCAAACAGATTGCCTGTGCAGCAGTAGAAGGTTCTGATACCAGGCTTCTACAATAATCCATATTTCACATTTATGTAGATTGCCTATGTTACAGTTTTCAAAACCATCTCCGGAGGTACCCTATATTAATTTTTGATAGTCAAGGAAAAATACAAAGGCAGCAATGGCAAATGGATAATAACAAGCTGCTGCTGTTCTGGACTAGACTGTAAAACCAACTTAAATGGCACCAGTACCTGTGTTAGTGGCTTTTGTATAAGCAAGAGGTAGGTAGGCTTTTTCTGGGTAGTTCTGCAGTTATCTTTGTGAAGCCAACTAGAACTTCAGCATTCCGTTTTGGAGACTTGCTGCCTATTCTCAAAGCATTAGCATTATTTTGCTGCTTTTTTTTTTCTTCCTCAAACAGTAATAGTTTCAGCATTAAAAATCTAATCCTTATACTAACTTGATCTATTTTCTTCTGTATGATAAGGATAGAAAGGAAAAAGATGCCTAATGGTAGTTCTGGTTCAAAATTTGACCTTATTTGAACTGATAAAGAATGAGATTTTTAGTAATAAAAGAGATAGAGATCTCACGTCCAGCTCAATGTTGGTCTTAGCTATGTGAGCAGCAGTGCAAATTATCTACATGGCTCTAGGACAGAAAAGCCATCTAACAGTCAAATACTGTTCTGGAAGAGAAGTTAAATATCTTTATGAAATTCCTAAGATTTTTTTTAGTCAAATGTTGTGGCTCCAGTGCTTGTAAAATGGACAACCCCCACTTTTGCAGCATTGTAAGATGCATTCACACTCTGATATGATATTTGATTATATGATATATGATTATGATATTAACTGAAGTGCTATCAGCAGTGCAGATATACTTGTGTCTCTCTTGAAAATGTTAGGCAAGCTTTTGTGGGGAAAATACTGAGATTTTTTTGTAATTGCCATGTAAATGTAAACATCAAAACTTGATCCTTACTTCAATATTCAAGATGAAATGCATATGATTATAAACACATGCATTTTTGTTCCTGCAGTACAAAAGAATACTCATTACATGATGATCTTCGATGCTTTTGTCATATTGACTTGTCTCACCTCATTGATCCTTTGCACGCGATCAGTGGTTAAAGGAATTCGACTCCAAAGGGTGGGTATAACTCTTCTTTTGGAAAATATTCATGTCTTGTGTACATCTAATTATCTTTTTCTGTTCCACTAGGAATTTGTAAGCTTTTTCCTATATTATTATAAGAAAGAAGTATCTTTCAGTGCTCAGATGGAATTTGTCAATGGGTGGTACATCCTGATTATAGTTAGTGATATCCTAACTATTGTTGGATCAACTCTCAAGATGGAAATACAAGCCAAGGTAAGATATTTGCACTGTTAGGTGGAAGCAATACTTGTTATTTCTATCCTAAGTAGGTTTCAATCTCTGAGGGCTCTAGGCTGGCTATCAGTTCTGACTGGTATGGAATTTTAAAACTTTGTCATCTCTTCCACGTTTATAACTGAGGTGTGTTGTTTCCAAATATCACTAGATATTATAATTCTATTTCTCTTTGCTCCTTTTGGATATCTGCAAGGAATAAAGTTAATTTCACCTCTTAAAGCTTAAGACTGTTGTCTTCCTCTCTTTACCATTTAGGACCAGTTATACTTTTTTTTTTTTTTTTTTTTGCTTTGTTTTGTTTTTATTTTGTTTTAGATTTAGCATTTAACTTTCTGTTCCCTATTTAACAAGCACTTAAGTGGCGTAGGGACTCTCCTTAAGCATCACATTGCTGCTTTCCCATCTTCTGCTTTCCAGCATGTACATAACAGTCACAGCCTGGTTTTAGGCCTTCAATTTCTAAAATAACCTTGCTGTAGAAAAAAATATATATTTGATAATACATTTTTTTTTTTTTTTTAACATCGGGGAACAAAAATTGCAATATGCTGTCCTGAAACACCTTAATATTCAGATAATGTTGTTCTTCACCGAATTGGTAACAGACTTTTGAAACATCATTGCAACACAACAGACTTTGGACAGTAGTGATAAAAGAACAGTGCTGAAATCCATCTGGTGACAGCTTCACTGTCATAAACACCCTGCACAAATTGCTTTGTCTTACCTTTGGAGATGTACACTTCTTTTTTAGAAGTAGAAAGAAGCTAAGGGGAAGTTAGTTACGATAAAAGAGAGGTCTATCCCGCTTGGGGAAAAGCAAAGACAGGAACAAGACTGAAGTAAGATCCTGTGTTTAGCGTTCCTGTATCTCATAAGTATAAATACATATATTTATATATGTATATTTTCTAAGGCAGTATTTTACTTAAATTGTTATCTACAGGTACATTTCACTTTCTTTTACAAGCCGTGTGGGTCACAATAACAAGATCTTTTTCCATGTTACTGCATGAAAGTTAATGGCTGAATAAGTAACAAGTTTACATTAAAGTAGTCCATATTTGCTTTTTATCAAGCTGTAAGTGAGTTATGCAAATATGCAAGATTAGTCAGCTGTAAGAGGAATAAAAACAGAAAATATTGGAAGCTTCTTATTCAAGTAAGCTGTCCAGATGTGAGCATTCCAGAGAAGAGTTGCAGTTCAGGGAACAGAGTATCAGCTCACTTGGATGAAAATGAGCCAGTATGTATAGGTGGAAAGAAAAACAGCCAAGTGCCAATAAAATATAAATGAAGCTCTGGTTAGAATTAATGTAAAGCTAATTATTCTTCTCACTGTAACTTCCTACACCTTGCAGGTCCTTGCTATATATCAGGATCCTCCTTATTATTTATCTAAACTCTGCTGACAAGTCATGATATTTTTTTTTTTTTTTTTTTTTTTTTTTTTTTTTTACAATGCTTTGCCAGCATGCTGGAATAACTGTTTTTGCTCTGCAGCTCTAAAATCATGTCTACACTGTATGTTGGGATGTGGCTGAGAGATTCCCAAGCTGGTGCAGGGAATCTGCCAATGCAGTTGGCGTTGGAGAGCCAGGCATTGGTGAGGGGGTCTCTGCATCTGCAGTCCAGCTGTGCAGTTGGCCTTGCAAAAGAAACTTAGCTCATTGTCAGAATTTGTTTTGTAAACAGTCATATGTAAAGGAATGTGAAATGAGTAACACTTGAAAGTTCCCTTGATCTTTGGTGGCACTGCTGTATATTGCCCCAAACAAACTTCTAATGGGAGAGATTTCCAAGGAAAACAATGCTCCTTATCAGATCTTTGTAGTAATGAGAGCCACAATTTAGAGCCTGTCAGTTGTTATAATATTTTATTCTGTTTTGTTTTTGTTGATGTTGTTTTTTTCCTTTAGAGTCTGACAAGTTACGATGTGTGTAGCATACTCCTAGGAACATCCACTATGCTTGTGTGGCTTGGAGTCATTCGCTACCTAGGTTTCTTTCAGAAGTATAATGTAAGGATCTCCTGAGATCTTCGTGCTGTTGGTATTTATTCTGTTTGTTGCTATAAGACAACTGGGAGAAATAGCTGGTTGAATTCTTACTGTTTGTATTGCTTTCTGCAGCTTCTCATTCTAACACTGCGAGCAGCTTTACCCAACGTAATGAGGTTCTGCTGTTGTGCTGCTATGATCTATCTGGGCTATTGTTTCTGTGGATGGATTGTACTGGGGCCATACCACGTGAAGGTAACATACTCCATGTGAAAAAGACAACTTGAGTAATAGAATGGATTCCATATAAATGAGAGTTTACTACTGTTGTCTTCTAAGTTTCCATGTCAAGGCTTTTCTAATATAAGAATAGTGCATGTGTCAACATGCACTATTAATAGTCAACATGATACTGCTAATAGTCAACATGATACTGCTCTGCTTGAGGAGCCTGACTGTCATGACACAGTCAGACTTTCCTCTGGTTGTGAAAGCTCTGAGTCAGGAGTGGAAGCTGCTCTGATTCCCAGTCATATGCTGGGAGTCCTGCCTGGTGTTCTGAGAAACAGTTTTCATCTTGCAGAACTCTGATGTCAGACTAAAGCTTTGGAGATGTTATCCTTATCCCTTTTAAAAGTGAAATTGCCTTATCAACTCTAGAAAGTGTTCACAGGAGAATGAATCGAGTCTGCATGGGTATAGGAGGTGACAAACTTTGCTCATTCCTGTGATGTTTTACTATTAGCACTGCGCGTTGTCATACTGTGGGCATACAAAGAGATCAGAGAAGCCAGTCAACAGTTATATATCTCCTTCGTAGTATGTACAGGCTTTGGCCCCAAACAAAGTGGCAATGGATGTCCTTGTCTTTTTCCCTCCTCTCTAGTTCCGTTCTCTGAACACAGTTTCTGAATGCCTTTTTTCATTGATAAATGGAGACGACATGTTTGCCACCTTTGCAAAAATGCAGCAGAAAAGCTACTTGGTTTGGTTATTCAGTAGGATCTACCTCTATTCCTTCATCAGTCTGTTCATCTACATGGTTTTAAGTCTTTTCATTGCGCTCATTACAGATACTTATGAAACTATCAAGGTAAGCACGAACTCCTACTCTTTGTTTGGAATAAAAAGGCAAGATCGGTGTTATGCAGGCTCTCATTTCCCTTGATATTTTGACTTGCAGTGCATGACATTTTTAGGAATGAATATAATGGCTAATTTTGAGGGCATAGGGTGATTACAAGAGACTTCTATTTTTCTGTACTCTGGTTTTCTTACCTACAAGCTATTGCATGTTTTATTGTATGTTTTTGTTGTTTTGCTTTAGGCTATTGTATGTTTTAGCCTTGTTAAAGTATTAACTAAATATCAATTTTTAGCACTACCAACAAGATGGCTTTCCAGAGACAGAACTTCAGCGTTTTATATCGCAGTGCAAAGACTTACCAAACTCTGGCAGGTACAGGTTAGAAGAGGAGAGTTCTGCGTCTCTATTTTGTTGTTGCAACAGTAAGTACCTAACTTAAAATTATACATTAATGTATGTGCAAAAGCAACACACCACAAAAGATCCCTGATATAATGTTCATGAATTGTAATTAATTTCTGGGGAGCAAGGGGAAAAAAACAAACACAAAAATCAGAAACTATTTGTTATGCTGTATGGAACATTTGAATGAAATGTCTGCATCCACTAAACTTTCTTAGGAGAGGTGAGGAAAATTTTAAATTAAGAATCTCTTAATATACAAAAAATGGTACAAAAAGTTAGAAAAAACAGGGTTCCCAAGTTACTGTGTGTATGTATCATGTGCAAGCATTAACTCTTCCTGTACCCAGTGCAATAGTTGAGACTTACTGAAATCATTCCTGGTCTTCTTATCCACTTTTTAATGATACCTTATGCAGCAAGGTGTCTTAATTTAAATGTTAGCAGTTCTGAAACTTTTTGAAAAAATGAGCTTGCAAAGGGTTTAAGATAGCATGCACTTTGAGGTACTATCACAGCACTAGGAAAAGGATTGCCTAACTTCTACGGAGAGCGTAATGCTTCAGTTAAAGTTTTGTTTCTTTAGGAGTACAGACTGCAGGATATGTGGTTTATATTTAACCTGGCTGGCGGCAGCTCTGCATCTTGCTTGCTGAAGGGTCCCTTGGTACAGGAGCCATAAATACTTGCAGCTCGCTAAAAAGATCAAAGAAATTTGAAGCTCCTTGATATGGGCTTTTCTGGTGCAATATATTGTTAATTGTCACTTATTTATGAAGGAGAGGAGATGGGAGCATATTTTGGAGCCAGGACAGAACAGAGCCTGCAGTGAGGCTGTCTAGAGCTGAGAACCCTTGTTCCAACTGATTGCCTGACTTGAGATGAAAGTGTGGGATGGAGCAGAGCAGGCCATCTTGCTCCTGGGGAAAGGGTGCTGGTGTTAATGTTTCCTTTCCTGCACACACCTCTCAGTTTAATCAAGCAAGAAACCCAATATGAGGCAGGACAGGGTGGGGACATGGTACCTTTCCCACTGAGTTGGAGGACTCTAGAAAAGTTTTTGCAAATAAAAACCTGGTTGCTCTCAAGCAACTTATTCTTCGGGAGTATTGGGCAGTCCACAGAGCCCTGAATGTAGCCCTATTTCCTAAACTGATTCTTTAATTATTTATCATGGTGGCAAATGTTGTGATCCACATGTGCTCCTCATGCCATGCATGTTAGTGTTCCAAACCATTTTTTATCTGGAGGTGTTGTGGTTTAACCCTGGCGGGCAGCTCAGCACCACCCAGGCACGTGCTCACTCTGCCCAGCTGGTATATGGGAGAGAATCAGTAAAGGTGAAAGTGTGAGAACTGATGGGTTGAGATAAAGACAGTTTACTAGACAAAACAAAAGCTTCGCATGCAAGCCAAGCAAACCCAGGAATTCCTTCACTACTTCCCATCGGCAGGCAGGTGTCAGACACTCCCAGGAAAGCAGGGCTCATCACGTGTAATGGTATCTTAGGAAGACAAATGTCATTGCTCCAAATGGACATTGCTCCTTCAGCTCAGTACTGTGGTCTTCTGGTTTTAATTGGAAACAAACGGTCCGTAGGAATAAACAAGTATCTCAGGTGGTAAAGGTTATATAGCTTATGTTCCTTAAATAGTCACATGGTCCTACACAACGCACGAAGCTCCTCTTAATTCTTTCACATGTTCAAAATGTTTTTGTTGTGGTTCATGGTAGTTTCTTATCAGCATATGTCAAATAACTAATTAGCTAGTTCAGATACCATTTTAAGGCTCCTTGTACAATGAAATTATAATTTTTATGCTTGCAGCTGACAACATTTTATTCCCCTCTCCTGTATAGGTCCCAGGGAACGTATCTGATGGTTTGTGGGAGCTTATCTTGGAGGCTTTGAAGCAGCACATGTTGCAAGAACTGAATAGTGGAGTCAGCAGAAAATGTTACACCTTAAGTCGGAGTGCTTTTCTCCATAAACAGCATAAGCCTGTGGCAGAAGCTTGTGGTAAACTTACAGCCTTTCTGATTAGGCACTCTCACTTCTAGTTCAGGTTTGTTTGTTTGTTTTTTAGCTTTGTTCTATTTGTTTCCTCAGTCAAATAGTGCTGGACTGCAAAGGGCATTAACAAGCTGTCTGTGGTCAGACACTTGGCTAGATTGTACAAGGGACTAGGAAGGCAGGAACTTTAAACTGCAAGAAATGGTGCTGGACAACTGCGACTTTGAATACCGAGCTGGCCCTCAGTACTGCAGGCATTCTCTCTCACTCACTGAATGAACTAAGGCAGACTCTAGTGCCCTCAGCATTTTTGTTTATCTGCAGTCATAGTGAAAATAAACTCCACCTTCGAAATTTGGTGGAACTTGTTTCTGGAGATGTTACAGTGAATTGGTGCATAAGCCATTCAAATACGGCTGTGAGCACAAACCAAATACTTGTCTACAGAGAAGCGCCACACAACGTCAATGGCAGCCTCTTCTCAGGGAGGATATGACTGAAGTCAGAGGACAAGGGGAGAGGAGGGATGTAGACCATCTACATCCAGCTCCAGTAAGGGTCAGTTGCGGTCTTCAGCTTAGCAGTCTGCTTACCTTCTGTTTTTAAAGGAAAATTCTGACAGAAGCACTTTCAAAGCATCTATTTTCTTAAGATGAGAACTTCCCTTGGTACACTGGTCTGCAAACCTGGAGTATAAACTAAGGTGAACACACAGACTCTGAGAGTCATCTCACCACACTATACAAACTGATGTTTCCTATCAACCTAATAACCTGGTACTGTCTGTGGCTGTCTGAAACATTAGATCTTACAGAATTTCAATTCTGGCAATTTGGATGATGTACTTTGCTCATTGTGATACCACTTAATGGATGCCTTATTTTCTATAGTCTATTCACTCTGGGAGCAGAGGAGAAAAACAAAGGGAAGCATATTTTAGATAATTTGCATTTGTAAGCAACAATTTAGTATGTGTGTGTGCAAATATGTAATGAAATTCTGTATGCTGTGCACCAATATGAAGGACACTAAACATATTTTGTCTCAATGTTTACATATTGTAAATGTGCTACAATAAACACTTGTGGTTGCAGTAAGTATTGGTTGTGTTACTATTCATTTCAAGAGTAAAAAATTAATGTTTTGCTGGGTTAGCATAGGAGCTTTTTTGCTTATTTTTTGGTTTTTAGTAACAATATGTAACTTCTGGCATGCAGCAATACATAGTGTGTGCAAACTTGTATTTCCTGCAGTCAGGCTAGTTCTTGTGGATCATGGTGAGCAGCTGGTCTCAGTTTGATCCTGATAACAGCTTTGCCTGTTTGTCATAAAAACAAATAAGCAACTGTTAAACCTTATACTAAGAATGTTTTTGTGTATTACATGAAGTTCAAATTCAGCAAAGGCAAACCAAATGCCATGCAGAGGCAGAACAGATTATTCAAGGTATCTAAAAGATTCCTGTACTGAGATACTTGCCCTCTAACAGCCACCTAAGACTGCAGACTCTTGAAGCAGTTTAAGGAAGTTAAAGGCATCCTTGCCTTGAAAAGCAAATATTAAGCAACTGTGTGTTCTGGTGACACATTAAACTCCTTATGGATCTTTGAAAACACGCAACATAATAATGTGCACATCGCTATTGTGTAAAGCAGTTTATATAAGGAATTCTGCATTTTAAAACCACTGAAATGCGGAAGGCTGGCTTCTTAGCAAGTTAAGAGAAAGCTAAATTTTAATAGAAAATGTGAGGCTTGCATTGAGAACAACACTCATTCAAAGTTTGTACCCAAAACAAAGCTGTCCCAATAGTTGTTTGTTTGTTTGTTTTTTCTCCCTGAATTAATAACTTGCTCAAAATGCAGATGTGTTTTGTAAACCAATATGGAATACTTTGTTTTCCATTACATTTATAAGGGAAGCAGTAGTCTAATTTCATTTAGAAGCAAGGCAGAGTGTATGCCTCATCTCTGTTAACTTACAAAATTGGCAACGGATTTCAGCAGAATTTGACAGCTTTGAAGTATCAAATTCTTGCCAAGTTTCGTAGAAGTAGGGAGAGATCATGTTAATAGAAGCCTGCAGCATGAGAATAAGGCATAGAAAACTATAGTGAATGACACAAAAGCAGGACAAGGTACTGTATACAGATTATTTTAATTCCTAGGAGGAGAAATCTACTCGATTAGTTTCTGTTGTCTAAAGAGTAAACCTCATGGTGAAGTTTGTTCCACAGCAAGATTCCAGTTAGGGCCTTTAGGTACAGCCCTGTACTTGTGCTGCAGCTAAATGGCAAGCATTTGAGACACAGAGCACCACTGCAACACCAGGCTGTGTTAGTGCTGCTTCTAATCTAGCACTGCTGATAGCTGTGTGGGTTGGGGGAGGCAAGACACAATGCAACTTCCATTTAGACAATGATGGGAAAGGCCACAGTGTGAAGCCAGAAAAGAAGGGTTATCTGAAATTAGCAGACAGCTATGTGAAGCAGTGGGTAGGCTGGGGTGGGGGGAAAAGGAGGGACAAACTGCTCAGAAGGTTAGCAGAGCAATACTTGCATGTTTCTGGCTAGGGGTACAGGCTAGCATATGAGAGAAAGAGCAGTACGTTGAAGGGTTACTGGCTGACACCTGCTCAAATTGTCCAGTTGTGGCTACAAACAAATGCTCTTTGTATTACATATCTGTTTATTTATTAATTAAGAGAAAGATGCTCAAATGTTTATTTTTCTCTGTGGTAGTGGTGCTGCCAATCCAAGTGTTTGCTGTTCAGATTTATGACCTGCTCAGTTGCTGGTGTTCAGGACCCTCCTGTGCCAGAGCACTTGGCTCACCTGAGAAGCAGCCAGGCGGTTCCTTGCTTTCTGGTCTGCTGGCTGCAACCAAGACAAAGGGCAGCTCTGCCAGGAGCCCCACAGCTGCTGCCGTTGCATGTGATGAGGCTTTTTACTCTTATTTCTTGTCAACGTATGATGTGCTGACTATAGCCTTGTAGAGACAACGATCTCAGTTAAAAAAAAAAAGTCTTGACCTCAGTATCAGTGACCTCAACATCAGCAACACTAGTGCCACATGTAAAGCTGCATCCTGGAGACATTGCTATCTTCATGCCGATACAGCCACCAGGCAGGCACAGATAGCACTGTGAAGTGTAGGTGGGGAGAGCAAATAAGCAAATTAAGCACCAGACGAAATCATTGTGCTCAGAAACGCCCTCTGAAAGAAAACGGGGCTCTAAGCACTGTCCACGAAGGTGTGGAGGGGTAAGAGTTGCTTTGTGGAGGTTTTTGCAGTCGGTATTCCCTCATGAAAACAAGCAGCAGGGTGCCAAACGTGGTAACAGCACTGCTGACCCTGAAGCTCGTCCCAGTACCGTGGTTTTGCATATGGCTGGGCAGTAAAAACTTCTTGTTTTTAGCAGAGCTCCTGGGTATTCACAAAATGAAGTTAGACTGAGGGGAATAGGGGCTTCTGGGCACTGCTGCCCATGCCATACATCCCTGAGGGAAGGGGCAGGTGCGCACGCAAAGAGGGGGAAATCACTCCCCGTTAGGCTCACACCTTCCCAATTAAAAACCAGTGCAGAAGCCGTGCAGGCGGGTGAGGGGCTCGCGGCTGCGCTGCTGAAGCCCCCGCCAGCCCTCCCCGTTTGGAGGGGCACACAACGCCGCTTCTCCAGCACTCAGGTGCCGCCGGGCCGGCCTCTGCTGGGTGGTACAGGGGCCGGGCTGGCACCGCTGGGCCCGGGGCCCCGTCCGGAGCCGTCCCGTCCCGCCGGGCCTCGGGCACGTGCCCGCCCTCCTCCGCCCGCGCCCCTTAAAGCCAGCGGGGCCGCGGCCCGGCGGGACGGCGCTGCGCAGCCCCGGCCGCTCGGGAGGCGGCGCCGGTTCCCTCCCCGCCGCGGGCCGCCCATGGAGATCTCCCTCAAGTACCTGCCCGGCGGCCGGGCCGCCGCCAGCGGGTGAGCGGGGCGGGGAGGGGAGGGGAGGCGGCAGGGCTGGGGCTGGGGCTGGGGCTGGGGCTGCGGCGGCAGCCCCCGAGGGCAGCCCCCGGTGTTCCCCCCGAGCTGGGCTGGGGAAGGTCGGTCCCCGCCGCGGGGCAGGTAACGCCGCGGTGCCGGCTCCCCTGGGCACAGCCCGCTTGTGTCGGTGCCCCCGGGGCCGGGACCGTGCCCCGAGCTGGGGGCTCGGAGCCGCGCGATGCTCACAACGTGCGGTCCCCCGCTGGTCTCTCAGGGTGCTCTAACCACCGCTTTTCACGTTTATTTCCTAATATTTTAGTTGGAAGTTGCAGTTCTGCAGTTTAACGCCGCTTGTTTGAATGGTACTTTGCATCTATTCTAGAAATTAACGGGTTAGCAAGCAGTTGCTGTGTGTTACCTGTTGCTGAGGGCATTATTTCTGAAATATCACACCAGAGCACTCCTGCCTGTTGGCTGCTGGAAGCAGAAGTCCAGCAGTGATGCAGGCTTGAGTCTCACCTCTTCTGTAAGTCAAAACGTGCGCTGCTTTCCGTGGCCGAGTTTCCTTCCGAGAGTTTCTGCAGCTGGTTAGCAAAGGAAGCCGAAGGCATCACTGAAGATGATCCCTCGCAGCGCAGATAAGCGAGGGCTGGGTAGAAGTGAAAGTACTGCTATTAGTCAGCTCTGAGCTGCTAGAGTAGCTGTACAGGCTTGAGAGGCAGCTTCGGGGGGAAAAAACAAAACAAAACCAAAAAAACCCACCGTGATTTCCATGGTATGTACTCGGATATCTGAGGAAATAGTCTTTCTCAGAAAGCTTGCTGTTTGGTTTAACATCTGCCCTTTCAGATGTGATTTACTTGTAATTTAAGGGAGGATTTTGCTTATATCTTGGGGTTCTTCTTGTCATACTTCTATGCTTTACATATCAATCAGATCCAGCTTAAACCTGCTTGGTTTCCTCTTTCTTTCCCTGCTCCTGTTCGATTCAGTCTGGGGCAGGTCTTGTTCGTTGTGTACCACACAGGTGCTTCTGCCTGTTCGTGGGCAGCTGGGACAGGAGAAGCTCTTTCCTGGGGTGTCAGTGCTGGGTTGAAATGCACACATATCTCCTTCCTTAGAGACTACTCACAGTTATAATTATTATATGTTTTTCTTCCTTTTTTTTTTTTTTCTTTCAAGTTTATATTTCATACTGGGCTAATTTTAATGGCACTTGTTTTTTCTTAAAAATCCAAGTAGAAATGTATTTTACAAGTTTTCCTTTTAAAGCCATTCCTGTGTTTTCCTTATCTCAAAACCAAAATCCCCCCCCACTTTGTGAATGATTGATTTAATGTGTAATAAAGATAACCTTTGAGATTCTGATGCTGAAATAGATTTTCACTTCCTCTTATGGAGGAATGGCACCGCGCTGCCTTTGCGTTTAGCTCTCGCTTCTCATGTTTGCCTGCTCTAGCAAGCCAAATGCACCTCATGGTCTACAGTTCGGGCAGGAATACCTGTACTCCTCAGACAGGTGGGGACAGAAGAACTAAGACTGTATCTGAGAACTTGGAATTGGTGGTTTTGGGTTTGACCTTGATAGAAAATTTCCTTTATAAAATTCAGAAGGTGGGAGCAGTTCTGTGGATGGTTAACGGGACAGATAATCAGCTGATGTAGCCCTTTCAGATGTGCTTGCTCTGCCTTAACAACTGGAGGGGGGAAAAAAGTTACATGCTTGGTTCTGACCTTTGTCTGAGGCAGGGAAACTCTGACAACTGCAGCACCGGAGAACGAGGTTAGAAAGACTGAGAGAAGGGGAAAGCTTTCAATACCATGTTCAGCTGAGAGGAAGAAACTTCCAGTGGTTTAAGACGTCTACAACAGCAGTCCTCTCTGCTTGTTCTTCTATTTTTTTAATGTATTTTATTTCTGTTTTCCTCAAATATTTAAATATGTATGACTTTAGCCCTTAAAGAGGTGTGCTCATGATGTCAGTGCGCTCTGAAGCCTGCTTGGGTAGTTTAGTCTTAAAAACACCTTTTTCTGGTGGTGGAATGTGGGTTGTTCAGTGAAGCGTGAACAGTGGCCTCTTCTTGTTTCAGAGCTTCAGTTTTAAGAGAGAGATAAAACTAGACTCCTTATTGCTCTT